AGAATTAGATAGTGAAATCCAGCAGCCTGTGAAAAATAAATTGGATTTTTTTCTTAAAAACACAAAGAAACGCAAAAGAAGTTTAATTTAATTTTGTTCTTTAAAGTCTGTGAAATGATTTATGGGATTCTGAGATTCAAAGTGCCAAAAATTACAACAGAGATAGCCTCATAGACGAGAGGCAAAACATCTTATAGAACTTCAAAAAACTCCAGTTGCTTTTTTGATGAAACATTAGGCTTCAAGAATCTGGGTGAAAATATGCAAAGCAAAAAACAAAAACGTCTGAACAGGAAGTATTAAAATATGGATTTTAGGGAGTAAATCAAACTGCAAACTACTCCTTTCTGTTTTCACAGTTTCTCTACTTTTCTAGTGGTTTTATTTGACCATATCTAATAACCTCTGTTGTCTCTGTGTTCACCTCTTAAAATTGAAACTTGCTTGTGTTTCTAAAACCAACAAGTTATCAAATTAGTGACAGTTTAAACTATGATTAAAGAAGAACTCACCGTGGCTGCGCAAGACAGCCGGGGGCCACGGTATCCTGGGAGTGGGGGGTTCTCTGCAGACCTGTGAGCTCCAGCATGTCCACTTGTACATCTGTCACATGACCAGGTAAGGGTTTGAGCACAGTCAAGATCTTCTCCACCAGATTGTCACCATGGTGACCTGCAGCTCCTGAAAAGAAAACACATACACTGACATGTCTATTTGTGGATTGACCCAGAATGAAATTTTAAATCCTGAAAACTTAAATATGTGTTGTTAAGTCACACACAAATTTTACTGAGGCAGAAATCTTGAGCAGAGCCCAACTCATGTCAGACAGTCATCTGCCACTGCTGTGTTGGGAATAGAGGGAGGTAGAGATGAACAAACAAAATAGGATACACATGTATGGTTTTATTGCCAGAGATAGCTAATGGAACAAGTATGTGTACCATTTATAGGAACAGCATGATAATATTATCGTTTGTTTCAATTGCTAACAGGCGCTTACCCATACTGCAGATACTTTTTTTCTAAACTCTTAACACAGACTGACTCACACCTACAAAACACAATTGGCCGAATTGATCATTCTCTTCTCAAAAACACATTTTGTTAAATATATACAAACTCTTCATTTCAAAATAGAACACATCTTTCTCTGCACACACTAACTTTACCAAAACACTGGAATTCTGACTCAAAATGAAATTATTCTGTTAAAGAATAGCACTTGTTTTCACTTCACAAGGTACATGCAGTCAATCAAAGTACACCAGGTTTTAAAATACTGGCGATTGCTGACATTACAAAAACTGCATAGACTTTTATGTTTCAGTATTACAGGTATTTGCATGCAAAACATGCAATCCACAGTTTTTACACTAAATTTCTTGGTTGGGAACTGTATGTCGACATGTAATGTTCACATTCAAAAGCATTCCAGTAAAAAGTTTTGTTTTCTGCCTTTTACTGTTTACTACAGGAGGTGCAAATACTGTTTATAATATGATAGAACAGAAAAAGTTTTACAGTATTGCTTACAGTGAACAAAATATCCATAAAACACACAACAGCGTTCTAAACAGTATAAAAAAAAAACAATAGCAAAAAGCCCAGATAAAAACCGGGGGTGGGGGACAACAGCTAAAAAAAAAGAACGAAATTACTGTATCTAATCTCTGCGATCTTCAGGGTTAGGCCAGATGTTTTCATCAACATTGCATCTGATATTATCCAAGGCTTGGCAATCATCAACTGTGATGTCCCAGCATCCATGGCTTCAAGTAGGGACATCTGTTCATGTGGCTGATGGTCATAAACCTTCCACCTCCATGAAGAAAAGAATTCCTCTATGGAATCAGCTGTGGTTGGCCCAATTTACCCAACATAAATCAGCTGTGTGTCAATTATTCTATTGTTTGTTCATTATCAGCTGAGATAGATTGTTTTTGAACTAGTATCATTGCAGAAGCAGAGGATTTTATACTGTATCTAAAGTTTGGAATATTGTTATTGCCATTGTGGGATGCTGTGTGTTAACATTCGTAAATAATACAAAAAAAATCCATAATTTTGTTGGGAGGTATAGCTTGTCTGTTAAGAAAATGTAGGCATTGTGGTAATGTGTTTACTGACAGCATATTGTGTGAAAAGGACATGAAATGTGTGAATGGTCTGGCCACTCAAGACTGATGTTGTGCTAATTGTGTTTAGAGTTTTTAAATGTGACAAACACCTGTAGCAACTGAAAAAAACTATAATAGACTGACAGTATTGTATTGGTATGGTATCCTATCATACCATAATGTAGTGTGTTGTAAATCTAAATTGTATGACAGTAAATCATATTGGGTCATATAGGACTGTGCCATACTATGTTGTGATGTTCTGTATCATATTGTAAGGTACTTGCTTTGTGAAACAGTAAGTGTTGACTACAGTGCTCTGTGGGTAGGGATAATCTGCAGAGGAAGATTTCACCTGTTAGATCCAGTGTCCGGTCCACAAATATGATGGATGCTCGATTAGGGGCTGTCTTCCTCCTGTTTTTGGCTTGAGGATGATTGGCCAGCTCCCCTGCAATGATACGGCTCATTGGTCCCACAGCAAAGCTCTCCTCCCTGGTACCTGTAGCTTCAAACACGGAATTCAACCCTGCAGCCAAAGATTTGATGTGAAGCTGCAGCTCCACAGGCAAAGAGTGCGTATCTATGTCCACCAGGCTCCCAAACCTCTTCTTCTCTGGTCGTTTGGCGTTTACAGCCTCTAGATCAGCTGAGAGGAGAGGGAACAGGTGGGCAAAGGTGGGTGTCAGGAGCAGCTGCTTGGACACAGGAGCAAACACCACCGGGACGTGCATGACTTCTGCGGTGTAGTTCATGTTCCCCATCCACTCACAGAGTTTCTCCTCAAACTGCTCAAACACAGGGTTCCCCTCCAGCTCTGTGCTCACATTATTGGCGAGCAGGTGCACAGAGTGAGCCACGGTGGTGAAGACAACGCAGTACTGGAGGTGACTGAGGGAGATGATGTCTTTAATGATGTCGACCGTCCTCCCCTTCAGTAAGGTGCTCACCACAAACACAGCTTTAGGTTCGTTGACATCACACGCTTCAAAGCTGGAAAATTGCTTTAAATTCCGGGCTCCAGCCTCCAACAACAACGTAGCTCCTCCACTCCAATGCAGAGCTTCAGCGCAAGCATCATCCATAAAAACCACCGCTTTCTTCACCTTCGACAGCACCTTCTCCCACATCAGCTGCGAGAAGCGCAAAAAATCCTCCGCTGACGACATTTGCAAGTTTCAATGTAATCTAAACGCTAAGAAATCAGAAACACGTGAGAAATAATGACTGAGGTAGCTCCTGCAAAACATAAACACGAGTCTCTTAGAGTTGACGTGGCATCGTGCGTCGCACTGTAAATACGTCACTTATGACTCCACTCGTTGCTATGGCAATAAACAGCATCCGCAGGTGATTTGCACGATTGAGTCTTAATTTAAAAAGAAAAAAAAACGGAATATATAAAGAAACAAATGACCGGGGAAAGTTGCCAAATTCACTATAAACACTATGAATGTCCGTACAGGAAAAACAGAGACAAAAAAAAAGACACTTTTAAAACACGTTAGAATGCACGAGCCTCTTTCCCAGCATTGATCAAACAACGATCAATAAATCACATCACGGGGAAAAAAATGATAATACAACAACTAAACGACAAACGACATCAAATATAAAGCATTAAAAGGTATCCTAAAAATTTTGAAATAAACCAAAATTGCCTACAGATCGATATAGAGACAAATCAACGTCGAACTACAGTATCCATGGAAACGTGTACTTTACATGGATACGTAACGGTTTTCTTAACTGACACAATTTAATGTTAGTTGGCAAATATACTTTTTTGCTAAAAGACGTCGACAAAGTTTGTTTTGTTTTGTTGTTGCTCTGCTGTTTAATCTGCCTCTAAAATGTTATCATCTGATCCTGAATTCGACTCCAGTTCAGCCAATGAAGAGAGGGAATATGAAGAAGGACAGATTTATCAGTGTAAGTCAGTGTAAGTCAGTGAAAGGCTGCATGTCAGTTTGTTTTTGTCTCAAAAAAGAAAAAAAAATAATGTAATGATCAACAAAAGACGCTGCGGTAACGCTAATTAACAACCATAATGATGATACAAGTGGGACCAGTGAATAATTTCATATATTTTGATAGTCAATATTTTCATAACAATTTCCAACAGCTAAGGCTTTTTGGAATAAAACTTGCAGTTGGATGCGAATATAAAGATAAAACATGACATTATATACACATTCATGTGACTAATCTAGACTATGGGCTACATATCATGAAAAGACTGTCCACCAGGGGCAGAAATATACATAGTAAACCCTCTGCTGTCTGTGATATACCATACTAAGACAAATGGCTCATACTTATAGGGGTATATTTGTAATTTTCAAAGCCATTTTCAAATTGAAATGTCAAAAAAATTGCCAATTGGGAAAGTGTGAGTTCTCACTTGGAAAAAAAAAAAAAAAGTCATTTATATATTGTTTTTTAGCTGTCTCTGTCATTCTGAAACATTACACGACATGGAAAATGAATAAGCTACTGCTTTCTAAAACAGAATAAGAGAAAGAGACATTTCCACATTCACAAAGTCCCTTCATCAATACCTGTCTAGAATCAGGTTGTGACACATAGTAATCTTGATACTTAAAAACATATGGGCTTGTAATATGATTACATGCTGCCATTGTGTCTTCATTCATACTCATGGTAATACTATATCATATTATATTGATTTATATCACCCCTTGCTTCATGCTAGAATAATGAGTCATACATTAATCAAGCACTATATGTCAGTGAATTATGTGTACCCTATTTATGAAGTGTTACAGAACCAAGCTATGAGGGCATTTTCTGCACCATGCTTAAGATGTCACATTAAGTGTTGACTTCATGCTGTAATGTGTTTCAGGGATTTTTGAAATGAATAACAAAGATGACAAGAAGGAAAAAGAAGAGAGTCATTCCCCCTGCAGGTATGTGCTCTCTGTGGAAAACAGCTATAAGGTCTCAGGTCACATTTGCATGATGATGCTTTTTCATTCTTGTAAAGAATTCATTGTAAATACCTGCCAAAAAAGAAATTATATTATATTTGCATGCAACAAGTTTTTACCTGTCATTATGAATAAATTATAACAACATACACCATGGGATTGTAGGTTAACCACGCTCACTCAGTCCACCAGCCCCTCTTTGACCCTGAACTCAGACTAACTAGGTTCAAGCAGGTTAGAGAAGCCATTAGTGATGAAGTGCGCTTTGCCTACAGGCTCATTTTCAATTAGAAACCACTGCATTATGGAAATGCAACATGCAGATATGATACTCTTTTCACAGCACAATAACAACAATGATCATAATTGTACACCATGAGTGTGACGGCTCCTCGTGTGCAGCCTGAAATGTACTTTCAGTCATGCAGAACATGAAGAAGTATTTTGGAGCTCATTAAATCTGCTGCCGCTCAAGCTCTGTTTGTTTGTGAGCTGGAAACGTGGATGTAAGCAATCACACAACTGGAGCAGTGCTGATATCAGGGCTCTGTGCTCTTCAGCAGCAGAGTAAATGTAGCAGAACATGCCACCTAAGCTTCTGTAAAGTACACCAGAGCTTCACAAACAGCCTTTGATTTAATGCCTGAGTTTACTTTCTTTGTGTGTCTGACCTGATTTAAAGCGTCTCATGGGATTACAGTTACAAGTTTTTGCTGTTGATGCATTTTTTTAATCAACAAATATACTCAGAATAAATCTGTATATCTTTAACAAAAATCAGCAATAAGAAGAGACTGGGTTTTATGCACTTTTTAAAACATATTATGCAAGGCGCTGATAAAGACAGTCCTGACTCCAATTGGTTTGTTGAAGGAGAAAATACTTACAACCATTTGTGTTACATTTTTTGTATGTAACTATGTGTAGCTAAATTTATACATTTATTACAGGCAGATAGAGAGGCCTCTGTTTATTTTAGACTGATTACACATTATCTCCTCAGACTGACATAGCATGCTCAAGTTAGCATCTGAAACTATTCCTATGAGAGATAGTTTCAACAGCTCTACTGTCATTGCACGGATTGCATGACAAGATATTGGTTTTGACCAATAAGAATCATGTGTTCAACAAAGATGGATTATAAAGAACTTAAAATTTCTTGTCAATTGTTTCACAAAGTAAAGTACATAATGAGAGATTGTGAAAAATGAAAATATAATAAAAATGCTCTGGTATGACTGATAAATCTGAAAAACAGGCTAACCCTAACCCTAAGAACTATTGGTGGTTAACCTGGAACCCTGAACTCTGGTTGTTCATGTTACATTCTTCGGGACAACAAACAAAAACAAGCAGTGTCAGCCTCTAAAAGGCTAAGTCTAAATGTTTCACAGGTATTTTAACAGCAGACATTCGCTGAGTCACTCTCCTGAAGGATTTGGGATGTTTGCCTTGGGGCTTTTCATTCTCTGGCTGTTGAAATGATCTCTCTGTATATATGTTAATATAATGAGGTAATATCTTTCCCTGTAGAGTCTGTCAAAGTGCCTCTCAGCCTGATATTGGTCTTGACTGGAGCGACCTGAGTGAAGCACTCAGCTAAAAATAACTGCACTTGGTGTAGAATAATAACATCTCCAGTCCTCATTATCATCTCAATTATTCAGACTTTTTCCACAGCACACGCCACATTCTGCTGAAATGTGTTTCTTATGCAGTTGGATATTATTCCTGTTATTTCAAGTAATTTTTTTCAGCAATCTAAAGGATGTCCAGGATGATGGAGATGGTGACGGTTACAGGGCTGGTGATGTTTATGAACTTGTGTAGCCGTGAGTAGGAGATTATAACTGTGTACAATCCATCCTCTCACATAATAATGTTGGATTTTTATGCCTTTATTGTGTTTGTTTGCCTCTTGGGCACAATGTGAAAGTGTTTCATTTGTCAGGAACCCACTTCTGTCAAAACATAGCTTTGAGGTATTCTCATTGTTTGTTTTTTGGAGATTTTTTTCCATTCCTGATTTATTTTTCCTGCATATATTAGAGCCCTTTGAGATGAGATTTTCAGTTCCTGACCCAGACACTCAGTGTATCCCTCAGAGTTTAAATGTCAGGAGTATGGAGATGACAGTGTTGGTTATGTGTGTTGGCTTTTTTCCCTTTTTTCCTGCAGATCTGAAGACAAACCTGAGCACCTGACTGATGATGAGAGGAGCACTCATGAACCAGGACCATCTTCTGGAGACAAGAATACACATAAAGCAAGAGGAGAAAAAAAACGGGAAGAGAAGAGGCCTGCTCTACAAAGTGAGCTCAACCAACATGGTGTGTGTTTTAGTGATCGGGCTTTACTAACCAGAAAAGACAGTGAATTTGTGATTCTAATGAGATATGATGATTCAAAGTTAATGATACAGACAGAAAGAGAGTGGAGAAGAGCCTTGTCTGTCCTTGGCTGCACCTTTTGTCAAACCAGGAAGTGCGCTTCCTCCACAGCCAACTAACTTTAGAGATAAAGGCTGTGTCTGAAATGAATCACTCAGTCCCTAACCCCTAACCCCCATATGGGGTTTCACTATATAGTTGACTATGTAGTGAACTCAATCACCAAAGGTTTCGGACACTACATGGCAAGACGCTATGCATGACGGGATGCCCACTACCGGTGAGTGACCATCGGATGGTCACTACATTTTGCAATGCTTTATGGGAGATTTTGAGTTGCCTGTATGGGGCACTGGAATTGATCACTCAGGTTTCGGACACCCCTCAAAATAGCGCTAACCCCCATATAGTCACCTATATGGTTAGGGATCCAATTCGGACACAGCCAATGAAACAAAGATTAGTTCAACAGATGTGTGTGTAATCTTGTGGAGTAAAATGTTCATTAAAATGATCAAATACACAATATTAACCAATACTTGAAAAACTGTTTTAATCAAATGATACCTGCAAATTAAAACCGGTGCTGCAACTAATGGTGGTGTTGGGGAAACTAATGAGGTAAAGGTGTGGGTGGGGGGCATTAGCTGTCACTTAAAAGGCAAAATTTTCTACAAACTGATTTCTCATCCTGGGCAAATCCTGCTAGTGCTCAGTAGAAGTTGCCATAGTGACAGATCTAATCACTCAAATGGAGTTTGGGTTCATGTTTGACAAATGTCCCTTGGTTTAATTAAAGATGAGAAAAGGATATTATGACTTATTAGATTCTTCAGCGAGTCACGATTTCGAGTCCTTTTAACTGTTTCACAGGTAACTTAAAGAGGCAACACAACGCACGTGAACATGAACAAAAGCCCTGGATGAGAACTGGTAAGCACTAAATATGAGAGGTTTTCTCCTTGAAGTTCAATGTAAAGTTTATTTACAGGCTCTCCTGTTTGTCTTATAGGTGCTGATATCACAGATTACTATAACTACGGTTTTGATGAAGAGACCTGGAAAAACTATTGTCAAAAACAGTTTGAACATCGAGCTGCCAACAGAAAACTCATCACTGTGAGAAATCATGCAGAATCATACATGTGCAGAAGTTTATGTGTAATCATTGAATCTGAAAATTCTTAGAAAAGAAGTTTATTTATCATTTTATTGTTTCATACTGTTAGCTTGATTGTATATTAAATAAAATTTGTGCAATTAGGTTTTAAAAATGAAATATTTACTAACTTTGAAGCAAATCAATCAGTTGTTTTATCAAGCTGACTTTAGGAGCAATGCACACAAATTCGAAAGTGCATGTACTTCCCTGTAGCTGTGCAAATGGTACTAGACTTCTGTCTTCTTATTCCTTTGAACTTTTTTACATTCCTGCAAAAGGAATTACAGTCTAAAATCATAAAAGACTACTTGAAGAAAAAAGTAATGGGTTGAAGAAAGGGAGTGATGTTGTTGTTGGTGTTCCTCTTAGGTCCAGAAGAGGCACTACACTCATGAAGAAAGCGAGCCTGCTCCTTCTCCTTTCTCAAACTCTCCACCTGCCTCAGCTCTCAGGTTGGTGGTAACATGTCTATGTGTTGCTGTTGTTATGTGTGTGTGTCCTCTCTCCTTTACTTCACCTCCTCCTCCTCCTCTGTGAAAACTCAGAGCTGAGCTCCTGCTGAAAGTGGCAGCTGGCTGTTTGTGTTTGTTTGTGACATGACGGCTATCAGGCTGCTGCCATCTGTTTTCTGTGATCTAAGATGGGCTCAGCATAATGGGGTTGTATTAGCGGGGGATCCCAAAGTGTTGTCGTAAACACGGACTAATGTTCAGCTGTGAAAGGGGCAAACTGACGGTTCTTTGAAGGCAGATCCTCAGACAAAGAGGGCCTTAGTCCAGATAATTGATCTGAGGCTTTGTGGTGGACGATATTTGACTGTTAATGATTTACTCAGACTTGAAGACTTTATTTTGTCTGTTATTTAAATGCATCCTCACTTTTTTTTATCCACAACAACATCTTGAAACGGGAAGAAAATTATTACCCTTTATATTACAACATCATTTTTCAAATTAAGTATCTCCCCCTCAAGACTGCAGTTCATCTTTTGACTTACCTGCATCAGAGATATTCGGATCAGTGAATCAATTCTTTGCAAATATCTCTGCACAGTGCCATTAATATGAACAACTTCTGGAGTTTTGACATCTAATTTCAGGTCTTTTCATTTGTCTACTGATGCCTTTATTTCGCCAGCAGTGCAACAGCAGTTTCAGAACATTTCTCACTGACATTTACAGCTGCTAAATTGTCATGCAGCACACCTGCCCCCCTCAACAGTGATGCTATGTCTGTTTTATATGACCTAACATGTGCTATATGTTTTATTTTTGCTTTTATTTGATATCAATTTACCAAGTATATCATGTCCTGGAATCAGCAGCAGCTGTAGATATGGAAATTTTTCCTCCAAAGTGTGGTCAGTACCTCCTTCATTTAGACTTCCACCACTGTTATTTACAAAGCTGATATCAGGAGTCCTGCCCCTTCTTGATTCTGAATGGTTGATGACAGAAAAGTGACACCAGCGAGTGTTGCAAAAGTTAAACCTTCTATTTTTCATGCTTTCATTGTTCATAATCGGGGAGTCTGTCGTTGCATCAAGTACAAAAAGCAGAGTCAAGAGGAACACTAAGATGCAAATGCTACAGTAATCCCTGTCCTGGGAAAAGGGGAGGGAGAAGAGGAAGATGGGAAAAAAAATCCTTGCCTATGTACAAATAAATAGGTTATTGGGCCGTATCTGCTTGTACATGAACACTGTCCTTCATAATAATAAAGAATAACACTACAAACAAAGGCAAGATGAGCCACTACCATAACAAACAAACAGTAAACAAAAAACTGAATTATTGTGAATGCGTCTTTTCTTTTTATTGTATGCAGGTAATGACATAAATAGTAGTTTTGCATTCACTGAATTAACAGACATTCATTTTCTTTAAAAGGTGGGGTAGGCAGGATTCCGTTAAAGAAGCATCTTTTTTGTGGTGTTTATACAAAAAAGCTTTTATCAGTCAATAGCTATAAGTCATTGATGACATTTGGTAAAATAACAATATTGCTGTGTTTTGTTATGTCTGTATAGTCAACATTTTAAATTTTCAGAGCGCTCCACTCTTTCTGACTGTAAACAAAGACAAACAAAGTAGCATCAGTGCTTTTTACTTTCATGTTGACTGGGCCCCATTTGTAATTATCTGGAGTATTTATCTGCTATATACCTGAATTTAATTGGAACGATACGAGCGAGCAGGAGCGTCTGTTTGTGGGCGGGGCTTGGTGGAGTAAAGAGGGGGTGGAGAGGAGGACCTGAGGGGAAAACTGGAGAGGAGGGGTAGTGTTTAAGGCGCTCCTCACACGAGGACGGCCCTGTATTGTCTTGGCGTCGGCACCAAAATATGTATCACTGTTTACACATCGTATTGTACATAAGCTTAGTGCATTCACATGACAACGCAAAATCCATGCAAAATCAGGTTCGGGTTGCGGGGCTGGTTCTGCTCAAGGTGGATTCCACGACAACAAGTTGTGTATGCGTAACATGCTGCGTCTCTGCATGAGTACTTGTTGCTGTTGTTGCTGTAGCCGGTGTTGTTGCTGTTCTAAATGTTGGTATAAAAGTCATAGCAATATTTGTAGTTGCTGGAACAAGAACAAAATCCCCCCAGCTACCACCATTGTTGTTGTTGCTGTGTGTGTGACAACGCGGGTTGGGGGGCGGGGAGGAGGAGGGGTGCTATGAGGTCACCGTCTTTTCTGGACTGATCTATTTATACCAACTACGGCATGAAGACGAATACCCAGATATCCACCTGCAGACCCGTTTTTAAAAAAGATGCAGAGATGTGTGTCAATATCACCAGATCGATAGTTTATTTTACCGGCGTCTTACAAATTCGTTCTCATGTAAAGACCACCTAAATTTAAGGTTTCTCCCCAAAACTGTCACTTCCTCAGATCCTGCCTACCCCACCTTTAGTTTGACCATTATATATGTTAATAATGAGAAAAGAGTTTTAACTGACAGTGTAGCAATAAAAGTCAGCTGATGCTCAAACTTTTTCTGTACCCAAGGCACAGAAACCCCTTCACTGAACTGCATTGGTCCTTTAAAGAAGATAGGTGCTGCAGGTGCTTAAATTAGTGGAAACAGGCCCTTAAACTTTTACTCTGTTGCATCATAAGATTTCACACCAAAGTATCCACTAGTTATGGTTTCTAGGTAAAACAAACAAGAATTATGGTTGGAAATATATGGTTGAATTAATATCACCTGCTGCATCATGGATGCTGCTCACACATGAATGCATCAGTAACACTGAGTCATGCATAAAATCTAATTTTCTGACTCAGGACCTTCTGCTCTGAAATATGATGATTTGAGTATATCTAAATCTTAGTACTCCTGTAATTATTCTTTCTTTCCCTGAGAATAAGATGTTACTTCATTAAACTCATGTCTGCTTCATGTTGTTGAACTGCTCTACCCTTCAGCGCCTCGTGTCGTGTCTCCTTCATATTTATGTGAAGATTTTAAGGGGGGGTGTTTGGGGCAGCAGAGCTGACTGCAGTCTGCAGGAGATCAGCCTAATAGTCCAGGTTCATGTTGCTTTACAGCCAGTTGTCTCCCATCATTCCTGTACATGCCCATGAGCAGCAGATGCCTGTCATGTTGGTAAATAACATCAATCCCACATGCATTTTGTTGTTATTTATGGACCAGGAGCTGCAGGCCTCGGAGTGTTTAGCTATCCCACATCCTCCCATTATCTGAATGGCTGCAGAGGATGATGACTGACGGGGAGTCCACGCTTAATTAAAGATTTGTCCGCTGATGATGTTCCCCTCCATCGGCAAGGTCCCGCTCCTCAGGGGAGGTCACACAGATCTCCACTCTGTGTGACGCCATGCCTCTGTTTTTTTTTGTGACAGGACTGGACCTGAGGGGAACCAGGAAGTCAAACTGTAGCACGCCAGAGAGCCGAATACACTGTCTGCGATGTAGAGCATGATGTGTTCAGTGAGGCTGTGATCCAGCAGCTGTCTCTTTCTCTGACAGTCTGAAAATATGAAGCTTTCTTTTGAGAACTCTGCTGGATTTGTTGATCTGTGTGCGAGTCTCCCCTTTGCTGCTGCTTACCGAGCAGAAAGTCAGTCCTCTGGGATCTGAGCGGACTCAGTCACGATCGGTCTCCTGTTTTATATTCTACACTCCTGTCGTAGCGCAGTGTAAAAGATACTGTGTGTTCTGTCTTTAGAGGTTTTGTGTTAAATTTTTTATCTGAGCTGAAGTGAGCAGAGGAGACCTTAAGGATCTGGGAGCACTGCTTTATTTAGACTCCATTAGACCAACATGTTATTCGTTTTTCTACAAGCTTTTTCCAAATGTTGATTAAGTCTAACTGACAGAAAGGGGTTAGTGTCCCATCTGCATGCCTGCGTGTCTGTGTGTGGGTGTGGATGTGTGTGCGTGTGTGTGTTAGCTGAGGGTGGGTGCTGTAAGGTCTGTGAGGGTCTCTTCTTATTATGAAGAAGGTTTGATGACCCAGATAAGGAGGTTTAATGCACTAATGGATCTACAAAGGGTTGAAGCAGGGACACAGCGAGTCAGATCAGGACTAAGAAATGTCCCATCTTTAAAAATATGATATTAGTGGTCTTGTAAACCAGTCGTAGACAAAACCTGACTCGGATTTGTAAAACATGATTGACTGAGCTTTATATGATCTGATCTACAGACAGTCCCATTCTATCATCAGTGCATTTGGAAGACAACATGGTCCCAGCAGGGAGGAAGAGCAGGGGTTTATCAGTGATGAAGGAGACAAAATTGAGGTACAGAGTGAATGAGTGTGTGTGTGACTGAGACACAGACACAGACTGTAGTTACCGGAGCTGTTAATTTGCTGTTTTTACATTGCAGGTGGTTAATGAGGCATCCCCTGAAGAGGACCCAAGCACCTCATATATCCTGACCTCACCACCTGGTGCAGCATACGCCCCTTTACCACGTAAGTAAACCCTCCTCCCCACATACACACGAGAAAAAGGCAGCACCTTTAGCTTTGTCATAACATTGTGACTTTATCTAAGTGATATCAGTATTTTTATAACCAAACAGCCACTAAAAGAAGTAGACTTGAAAAATAAGCATACATCTTTGCATATCAGATATCAATGAAATCATTATATGCAGTAAAAATACATATTTTTTGGCATTAACCTTAGACATAATTTATTATACACCATTTAGACTGGGGTTCTGTCACTTAAAACAACCTGAAGTGACACAATAAGACAAACAGCTCACTCAGCCAATAAATTGCTTTTATCAGAACCTTGCTGCCATTTATATTTTACAAAACAGCACATCTACTTTCATCAGAAGATTCATTACTTCCGTGCAACCTGCTGTATCTGGCTCTGTTTTGAGGGCTTCTTGCCTTTCACTTGGAGAACAGAACAGAGCAGGCATCAGTAATAATGGTGCATTCCATTTACCTCTGAAGTCAGAGCTGGAAATGATGTCACACCCGAGTTATCAGCGTTTCATTTACAAAGTCGGAAAAAAAGTAGCCAACGGCCAAAAATGGAAGCAGAAACAAGATGGCTACATCTACGAAAGTTATTTTCGCGCTTGCCTCGTCTGTATATAAACAACTCCTGGACAAATATGCAGTCCGTCTGCAACCTGCAAACACGGTGGATGAAGAGGAAACACAAAGGTGCAGAAGGTAGCCTATTATTTCTCATCACAGGAGCTTCTACAGTACTTAATGTTTACAACTAGTGCAGCAATCTTTAAGTGTCGACTCTGGGATGTGTGGATCGTACGAATTTCTGAGTCAGAAATCTAACCTAGGGGTTTATTCCAGTTCCGACTCAGAGCTCAGAAATCCCGACTTCCGAGTACAAATGGAACGCACCAAAATACATCAGATATAGCATTAGAGGAGGGGCTAGGGTGAAGGTGGATTTGAGGTGGCAGCAGCAGGAACAAGTGGGTGAAAGCATTTTGACATTTGCCAAATGGATTCATAAAAAGTAAAAGGCTGAGCTGTTGGCTGATATGGCTGGAGATGGAAGCAGGGCTGAGCGTAACTGTTTGGCCTGCCTGAAAAATTGCTTCTAGGTAGTGTGAAGACAACTCCAGATATTACTGGCTGGTGTTATTCTGTAGTGCCCTCGGTCATCTAAAGCTGATCATGAACACATACGTTGTCTTTGTAAAGCCTAGGGTGCAGGTTTAAGTGAGATCTGGCTATTTCAGGTGCAAAGGACCCCATTAGACCGCCCTTGTGGGCCACATCATGTATCATAAAGCTGCACAAATGACTAACGGCGATCTGACCGTGTGTGTGTTTCTCAAGCTCCAACACATGTCATAATAAATAATCCAGTGCTGAAGGACAGAGGTGAACGTGTGTGTGTGTGTGTGTGTGTGCGTGTGTGTGTGCATATGTGTGCACATGTGTGTGTGTGTCATCCAGGTGCCGTCAGTCCTCACACTTCCTCTTGGTCTTTGTAGTGAATCAGATAGAAATCCAGGAAGGCTCCCTGACCTGAGCCCACAGCTGGGCACATGCCATATCTTCATCTTCAAAGGTTCAAAAATAGTCTCCTCCGGTTCAGACCCTCGTCTTACCCCTCACACTCCCCCCCTGTGAGCCCCATACAGCCGGGTGAACCCGTGCCAGAGCTGCTAATACTACCAAAATACCAAACATCCTGCCGGCTGTAGCTTTGAACAGTCTTCTCTAGCTTTGAAGTGTATCTGTGTAGCTCTCATCCAAACCCCTCCCCTTTCTTTAAGTTACAGGCCCAGCCTCCTTTTGTGATGCAAATGTGTAACATGATAAAAATAGCCCCCTGGTGAAGAAGTGCAGGGCCAGCATATTGTGGCATGAGAAATGTGCTGAACAGACCGAGTGTGGGGAATAGAGCCAAGGGAAGAAGAGGTTGTTTTTTCTTTGTTTGATTTTCAGTTTGCCTTTGCTTCAGGTCACATTAGACACTGCCTGTGTTTGATACATGAAGGTTTTAAGAGGAACTGTGTCATTGTAGGTTGTTCTGGTGACATTCATCAGTGCAGCACAGTCAAGGTGAGGCTGTCTGCTGCTTTGTGCTGCAGCTAATGTGTCAGTGTCCCACAGCCGGTTATTGGGTCACCACAGTCATGGCAGACACACAACCTGTTAGTGAGTGTCCTTTAGTTTAAAGCGACACACTGATGTGTGGGTGTGCAGTTCAGACTGAAATAACCACAAAATTACAAGATGTCCTTAAATCATCACTGATGAGAACCACTGACCTTTAGAGCTCTGTGCAGCCTGACCCGGGGGTGGTGAGGGCTAGTATGGATAGTGTTGGTTCCAGGATGTTGGGGTTTATTGTTGAGCCATCTAGAGGTGTCTTTTGTCCAACTTAAATAGTCAGTATGATTCTGTGTAATTAAAAGAAATCAATTTAATGCACAAGTTTGACTTAAAGCTGGTGTTTAGAATACATGTAAATATATTAGTTCCAATGAAATCAGAAAAAGCTTAACAAACATACATCAATCACTCAATCAGTCCATCAATAACACTCTATTTGTATCACAATTGTCATACAAAGAAGTGTAACACAAAGTGCTTTACATAAACAGAAAATCATTAAAATCTGATTATGTGATAAGACCTGACATGTAGGAACCCCTCCTCTCTTTTTCTTCTCTCCCATAATGACACGAGTGGCTGCGCTCTTTGCAGACGCAAGACAAACACACAAATTAAGTGAGTCATTCCAGCGAATAAAGTAAATAAATTCACAACATTTGCACATCCAGATATGCCCTAATTAAATGAGTAGATGATTTTACTTGCACTTGGTCAGAACACGCCATTAGCGAGGCTTGTACTAAAAAAAACTGAGTCAAATCCCTACCCTGCAGTAGTCCCAGAGTTGCCAGGGTTGGCAGATCCTCGAATGACCAGCATTTTAACGCCTCTACAGAAACCAATGGATGACAATACTGAGACTGCATTTAATATGGTCCTTACAATGGTGGTTTCAGAAATACCTATACAGATACAAGAACTTAATCTATCTCCAAATGGAAATTCATTTGTCTGGAATCTCATCCCATCCACTACTTTGGTCCATTAAGGTATAATGAAGTGGATTTATTCATGTTTTGTTTTTTTGGGGGGGGTTCATAAATAGCTTTGGGCCCCTGTCCAAAGCTTCCATTCTCTTGTCTCTACATTTCTTGTCTGTCGACATTTTTCTGCAGGCTTAGTTCATAAAATAAAGAAAAATCTTTAAAAGAACAACTGCATTAAGCTTTCTGGCCTTGCTGTTTCCTAGAAAACAAAAAAAATTGCAAGCAGTAATTACTCTTGTTGATCGATTAAATGGAAAGTCTGCCCTGGTATTGATCCCCTGAGCTCAGTGGTGGAAACAGCAGCTCTTTTTTCAGGAAGAAATTGAAGGCTCTGCTCCGCTCACAGCGTGGCAATGACGCTGTCACTTCAGGAGGAATTGTGCACATCTGTCCCTGCAGATTGCTGCAGTTCAGAGGCAGGAGACAGTAGCTTTTACCTGAACAATAAACCCCTCCTAACTCTGCTGTTACAGTGCAGGATGGCTGCATGTGGTGCGACGTGAAATATCAGCCCCATCTTAAACCCTGCGGCCTGCAGCTCTGTGAAACATTAGCATGAGACAGAGAGCCACGCAAGCACAATTAGCCCACAGCCATTAGCTCTCTCATATGCTGCCAAGCATGGAGCTCCAGCCCTCATCAAACACTCAGCTGAGATCTCCACAGGTAGAAACAATTACTCACTCACGCTAACTCTCATGATACGTACACACATGATAGCATGTGTGTGCGTTTAAGCTGCTGTTTACTCAGCGCACACGTGTCTGGCTGTGTGGGAACAACATGTTCAAGTTGTAATCACTTCTTAACACATACTTTAAGCATTTTGGACATGCTCACTGATTTTATGAACTCTGGGTGTTTTCTCATGCAGGACCTCTTTTTTTTAATGAAACCGTTTTTCAGCTGTGTGCTCCCTGATGAGTCGCTCTTTAGTTTTAGGTTTTCTTTCTTGAAAGGAGCAGCCTGAAGTTGCCCCGCAGCACTTCACCTCAGTTCTCCCTGTCTCAGACTGATGTAGCTTTTTGTGTGTTTGCCTCTTATATCCCTCCCTTTATTGTCACAAAGTGACTAATATCAAAGTCCTCAGAGGGTCGGTCTTTCATAAAGAATAGGTCAGACCCTCTGGACTCTGGAGGACCCGTGTCTGAAGGGAGGAAGATGTTTTACATTTCATTTTCAAAGTGGAGTGCTCCGTTGTTATACTCCAGCAGCTCCGATTATTCCTCCTCCTGTTTCAAATGTTTTTCTGTATTCTTTCTATAGCTGAACACAGCTCTGAGCCACTTTCTCGTCAGGGGTCTTTATGGAAGAAAAAGGGGATGGCATCCAGATGTGGAAGTGTTTCTGCTTCCACTCTTCAAAGAAATGTGTGTGTGTGTGTGTCTGTGTGTGTGTGTGTGTGTGTGTGTGTGTGTGCATGCATTTGAATATGTACAGAGGCTTGCCAGAGTGAGTGATTAAAGACCGATTGTGTTGCATTGTCACGTAAAATCCCAGCATTAGAAGGAGAGGGGTCATTAAGTGTGCACTCAGGCGTTTGACTCTCTCCCTTTTATCGATGGAAGACTTTTTGTTGTTCTGACATTTTGAGGCTGATCTGCTTTCTCGACAAGCACCATCAATTATTAGTTACGTTGTTAGATGTTGGTGACAATGTTTTTGAATCTGGGGCTTTTGTTTCACATCTCGATGCTGGCAGATCACATCTTCCCACACTTAACATGCAGTCCTCATTCCTTAAATCTGTCCAATTGAAATATTTGTTCTGTGTTGGACAACACTCACTTGCGCAATATGCTCTTTTGTTGCTTTTGGCTGATACATCTCGTGTTAACTTTGTTTTCTAACGAGTATCAGTCCAAATTGTTCTTGGTTTGGGTGGTTTTGGTTTCTTACAAAGTGGAGTTAAAAAAAATGGTTGAAAACAAAGAGGCAAGTTGTTTCTTCAACAAGTGCTTTTACAGTCAGAGAAGTTGTATCTTTTATTCTTTTTTTCCTATCTGTGATATCTATTATCACAACTGCTTATGGCTGAAGTTAGTTTGAAGAGATCTGCAGTTTAGAGGTGCTCTCACCAGCTCTGCTGCTGTTGCTGCTCTCCAGTAGCTTCTCAGGCTGCGCTTTGTATCTGTACCTGCTAACTGTCAGTTTTCCTCCACTTTAAAAATCTGCCTGAGAAGGACACTTAGGTTTTTGTCACGGTGTCAACAGGCAGAGGGAAATGTACGAAAGAGGATTAGGTTCACCAGAAGAGAAAAAATAATTATAAGAGGAAGATTTTTTTAACTTCCATTTCCAAAAAAAAAATTCAAAAAAAGTTGAAATTTCGAGATTAAATCGAAATTTCGAAAAGTTGAAATTTTGGCTTTGTTCATTTTGACTTTAATCTTGAAATGTCTACTCTTATCTCAAAATTTAATTTTTTTTATTCTCAAAATTTCGACATCATTCACAGCATTTCGACATTTTGTAATCTTGAAATTTTGAAATGATGTGAATAATAATAATATATATAATAAATATAAGAATTATAGTTGTAAAAATAATAACTATAATCTCGAGATTTCAATTTTTGATCTTGGAATTTTGGCTTTATTGACATAATTCTGATTTTTTTTTTAACCACCAAATTTCGTCTTTAATCTCCTTCCTGTAATTATTTTTTTCTTTATGTGGCCCTGATCCTCTTTCATAGAAATTTGATGGACTTCTCCATGTAGACTGAATTGATATGACTTGTGTGATCAGCATGGGTGCCTTCTTCTGGGAGGACACCCTGAGGTATGCCCAGAATGCACTGGAGAGATTATAGTCCTATCTGGCCCGGAAAAGCCTCAAATCATCCAGAGGGAGCTGTTAAGTGTGGAGCTGTGGAGAGACATATATGGATGGATGGATGGATGGATGGATGGATGGATGGATGTGTGGATGGATGGATGGATGGATGGTCGGTCGGTCGGTCATGTTGTGACTTTTACTGGTGGATATTTCATACAAGAAGTCATGATTATCTGAGCATTCATTGAGCATCAATCAATGGGTCAGTAAGTATTGTCAAGTGTTACCAGAAGAGCTTCTGCAAGAAACAATAAATCACATTACACACCATTGTATTTTTACTTCTGTATGAGTAATTAAAAAAATCTCTATCTGAACTGTGAAGAGACAGTCGCCTTTACCTGAACAGTATTATTAACAGTGTTATTTGAGATGAAGGAGGGTTTCATGTTTAACTCAGATCTATCACATTCTTCTGTTTTCCTTCACACAGGTGACTTTTGCAGACCGAGGCACTGTTCTAACATAAAACGAGCTCCAATCAGGTGAGTCTGCCCCAGTATCAGTGCGTGTGTGCATGTATGTCGTATGTGCCTATGCAGCAGTATCAGAGAAGGAGAAACTGCAGGTGGAGACAGGTTCAGGACACAGTACACAGATCTCTGTTCCAGCAGGTTTGTCTCAGGTGCAGATGCAGGTAAGAAACAAACTCAGCAGAAACATGGGAGATAAAGAAGGAAATCGTTAATCAGAGATTGCACTAGAAATTATTAATAAAAAACACATTGATGCTGAAAACTTGAAACTAAGTAATTGCAGTTGGAAGCAGTTTTTGGTTCTCCTGTGACACTGAAGGACAAACTGTGTTGAACTTTTTTTTTTTTTTTCACTGCGAGCAGGATCAGTGTAATCTCTGCACACTGAGCTGAGAGCTCATCTCACAGCTGGACTTTTGGCCAAATAAGGTAGAAAGCAGGACAGCAACCTTGTTTGTGCGTGTTTATCAGTACCAAAGACATCCTCCACTCCCTCTTCCGATCTATGTCACAACCTGTTTACAAACTCCCTCATTTCAGCCTTAATTTACACTCTTAAGATCATAAGTGGGCCACACTGTACCTCCAGCAGCAGCGGATTTTCTTACAGGACCCTGAACACAGCTCCGGTCCAGATTAGAGCTTGTTTCTCTTGGATGTTGTTTGAATACAGACCGTCTAACTCAATCTGCCTGTTTGTCTGTCTCTCCAGCTTCCTGTCCCTCATCTTTTCTCTATTTTTCTTTGTCCTACTCTCTTTCTCTTCTTTACTTCATTTGCTGTGTCTACGTGTGTCTGAATCCGCTCTGTACTCTGTCCCAAAAAGAAGGTTTTTCCTCAGTCCATCTGCCAAATCCTCACATCCTTCAGGGACTTACAGTTCCTCTGAACTCTGCCAACCATCTCCAGTACGCTTTATGAATCATTTCCTTTTAAACTTTTCTCCAACACACACATGTGCAGAGACTCCACACAGTCCCTGCCTCTCTGTTGGTGCTCAGACTCTCCCTCAGGGATATTAGGAACAGCAGGTATTTCTGGCAAGATATGGCACCTGGCTTCCTGAGCAGTGTGGAGGGCCAGCGGCACATAGTGCTCCAAATGTCCATATTTAGTTTTTGAACAAAAGATGAGTTCATTTGCCAAAGATGTGCTTTTGAAGGGGGATTGGTACTATGATGCTGCTTCTTCACATTTATAGTTTCTGGTCATTCACACTCGCTCATTCAGTCTTAGTCTAAGTTTAAGGTGTTAGTCAGATAAGGGGGGGAAAGTGAGCGCAGACTTCATTAGGGGGAGCAGAGAAGTACAAAAAGTAAATAAGTCAAACCAGATGATCAACTTTGGAGTGCAGTCTGATCAAAGTCGACTACCACTGTACACACAGATGAGTTTCATCTAAAAGCTTCAGTGATGGGAAGAGAAGCACTGTTGTGATAATGAAGGTACTAAAGGATAATCTCTGGCACTGGCTACCATTTTTTTGTGATTTGGATTGATGATAATCCATGTGACTAATTTGATCATCATGCTGGCATCAGACATCACATCACATACTGTACATAGTGTTGAAGCTGATTCTTGCTGTATATACTACAACTGTCACAAATAGCCCACTCTCCTGCCTTCTAAATAAAGAAGAGGTTTCATACTCCTCATCTGGTCTTAAAGGTGCAGTGTATAAAAATGGGATTAAACCCTTTCAGTATTAGTAAACAGTATGATTTTTGAGTGGACGTGGCTTAGATGGGGAGACATCTTAGCCAGCATGAGCCAGAAATGATTTTTGCTTATTTTCATCAACAGTGAAAGCACACACAGGCTTGTCTAAATATAAAGGGGTCACTAACTCTCTTGAATTTGAATATGACTTTATTGTACATAAACAAGTTAACTTAAACAAGAGATATATGTTAACCTCCAGTATCTGTTTCCGTTCAACTAACATGTGACATCAATGTGACCTAAGCTCTCAAAAGGTCTGTATTAAGCAGTATCCAGCAGCCAGATTCTGAATTAAAATGCCCCCTTGTTCATCCCCTCAATTCAAATCATATGAATAAAGATTATATTGGGGTATATTAAATTGCAATCACAATATTAGTAAAAAAAAATTACAACTAGATTGTTTTCTTAAATCTTTCAGCTTTGATTTGTCTGCATAACTAAGAGGAAAAATCATCAGGGTCTTTATTTCACGGTCTTCAAGGACATTTGTTTGAACATTTTACCATCAAAAACATCCTCCACTACAAATTCACTCAGGATCACTTTAGTCAAAATTAATTATTTATTACAAGCAAACATTTTTACATTGGTAGTATGGCTCTGTTCTGAGAGTTCCCTGCCCTTCCATGCGCTTGCATGGAATGCCACGGCTATGTGCATACATGAAAAGCAAAGGCAGAGGAAGCCGCAGCAAATAAATACAGTATGATAAAGATAAATAAATTAAAACCCCCTCACAGAACAGAGCAAGCATCAGTGACAATATATATGACACTTGTAAGATCAGACATGACATAAGCAGGAGGAGCTGGGGTGGATGTGGGTTGCAGAGTGGTTGCAGCAGGCAGAGTAGGCAGGAGAAGCAGGTTAAATGGGGTGCCATTTTGACATTAGCCAATAGGATATGTAGAGGGCAGTCACCTGAGCTTCAGCTGACTGAAGGCTGGCTTAAGATCAGCTGAGTGTAGCCTTTAGCTTGACTCTGTGCCCTGCCTGAACTACCACTATGCTTCATTTGTTTTACACACTCAGGATAAAATTAGCTTAAATAGCACATTTAAAAATAATCACAGTTGAACCAAAACACTGCACGCCTCAAGATTTACCATCTGAGACAAATGCGGGTCTAAAGACTCCCAAAACACAAGACACACATAGAAGAAATTTACAGTCTTAAGTTTGAAATTGTCAAGCTCAACAGACAGAATTTTGAGTTTTCCTATTTGTACTGAAAAGTCGATTTTACTTTGGGAACAATAAAAGCTCAGATAAAACATCATATTTTAAATACGCTATTATGAAAAGAATAGTTTCTAAGTAAGGCCAAAAGCACAGTACAAAGATAGAAAAGAAGAAGGAAATAAAAACATTAAAATTCAGCTCAAACAGACTGAATAACTTCATCAGTTACATAATTGATTTATTCCTTGTGTTCTTTGTTTGAAATACCAGCATTTCTCGCTTTTCTCTGGGTTATCCTTGTTTGAAAAGTGAGCTTTGTAGATCTGTCCTTGAATCTGGTTTTCAGAAAAGCAGAAAGGAAAATCATCCAGATCAGTGGAGACAAAACAGACTTTGATGTCTTTATCTTTTCACCTCTAGTTTTGTATCTTTTATTGATGTTTTTCTCCTCTGATGCAGCGGTGAGGCTTGTACCCTCACTTTTACAAAGTTTCAGAGTGTATTAGTGACTTTTAGAGGTATCAGTGTGATGTATTAGATGAGGTTGGCATCAGCTGTGTTTGTGTTGACCACATACTAGGAGGTGTGATCACTGAGCAGTGCAGAGGCTGTTACATACTCAGTTATTATCCGCCTGTTAGTGTCCTGCCAGCAGCCACATGCTCACTCAGCCGGACTCTCTTCTCCATTCACTCACTCCGTCTCCATTCACAAACCAGCCTCTAAACCGTCTCCATTACACCACATATAAAACTCTAGAGAGAGGAGCTGGCCGCGCAGGTGCTGACGTAGCTGATGGACCTGCTGACTGGGAGATTTATGGAAGAGGTGTTTGGACTCACACCTGGCGGGGAGCAGCACCATCATACTAGCTCCACAAAAACCTGCAGCTCACGCGGAAGTTTTCAATTTGGACTAGATAAGGGTCCAGGAGAGTCCACGTGGATCGGCTGGAGATCCAGATCCTATTATCACCGTGCCCTCCATCCGCTCCCCTCGTGTTGGCGAGCACACAGCGAGCCCTGACGATGAGCCAGACACTTCAAACAGTCTGAAAACACAGCTGTGCGCTCAGAGGAGAGCTTTGATCATGCTGCAGAGCGTCCACTTGTTTCCTCTTATTCACTGATTCATCTCTTAATTTGTTTGCTCACTCTGTTTCCTTTTGCAATTGCAGAATTAATTAGCTGTAACATTACCTCAGGTTGATGATGTCTGGCTGAACATGTCAACTAAAAATAGAAGCAGACTTCACACCATAGAAACCTTTTTCTTTAGGTCTGTAAAGCTCCTAAGAAGTTTTTCTGTGACTTCAGTGTTGACTTTACTTTTTTTAAATGGACAGCATGCTAATCTGGTGTAGAAAAGTGAGGCCAAATTGACCCCAGGTGAGAGCTGAAATCTTGCCCATTCAGGGTCAGGGTCGTGACTTGAAAGGGCAGGATTGCAGCCCATTCCCTCCTGTCCAAACACACTTTTCCTCAGGTGGGTCCAGTCCATAACAGGACAGATTCTTGAGCTGGTTTGAAGCAAATTCACTAGATTATAGAAACTAATGACTCTGTATCAGTGTTTATTAAGTTTCTTCTTTTTTTTCTGTTGAGATAATGCAAGGTGAGCACATAATGTGAAGCTTCAGAATGTGTCAGTCTGGAGAGGCTGACACTATTATGGGGCGTTCACATCAAGCGTGAGTAAAATCATCTACTCACTTAATTTGCAAGTATATTAGTGCATGAATTAAGCATATTTACTTGCTTCATTTGCTCGAATAATTCACTCTATTCATGAGAATCATTATTATTTGGTTTTTGGGACGTCTATAATTTTTTTTTACCCAAATCCTGTCAATACAAGTGTTCACATCAGTGATGTTTTCCCGTCCTGTGATATTAATTTTTAATAAATTTTTTCGTATCACGATCGAATTTTCTAAAGTTTCGCATACTGTGTGTCCACTTCTGACTAATCAGATTTCGTGTTGTTGCGACGTCAGATTCACCGGTATATCCAACATAGCCGACCGGCTGATTGAGTGCTTTTTGATTTAAAAAAAAAACACAAACATTACAAAGATAACGACCAGAAGGACAACTTGTGGAGAGACATAGCGTCGGATCTCTCATATGACGATAGTTTGTGTGATTTAACAGTTTGCTAAACATGTTTGTTTTAACTTTCACTTGTGCTAAGTAACTTTAGCTCATAAGCTAACCTGTTCAGATGCAACATACCATATGTATTCTCACTGTCTCAAACTCAACTGTGTTGCTGTCACAGCACCATTAGGTCTCGGTTGTCACCTTACATTTATGGATTATAGTGTAATGTGCTTATCTGCTATTGGCCCTGACTCAGTACATGCTATCATGACAGACAGTCATCTCAACACTAGTGTCTAATCAGAACTGAAAAACAGTCAGTCTGCTGTTGTGTCAGTCTTCTTGCTTCCACCCGGGACGCGTCTTTTTTCCCCCCCGGAAAGTCGCAAAATCGCATTGCGCTTGATGTGTATAGTCAAGCGCGTGAAACTTCGCCTCCGAATATTTCGTAATTTCACGTCCTATATTTGCATTCACGGTGTATCTGTGGATAGCTAATTTCAGCAGTGATTCTTGCCAGTTCAACCCGTGGGGTCAAGCGAGCTCCTTTTTATTCCTGTTAGGATGAGGGTTAGGGTAAGGGTTAGGAGATTTAGAAGTGCGATAATGCTCTGTAATGTTCTGTTCAATGTACAGAGCCGACTGCCTGGGTTCGGCAGGAGGGTGTGATGATGTTTCCATCTTTTCTAGCCAATCAGAGGCGAAGGAGGCGGGACTTTCTTCCACCAGTGTGCGTGTATATTTATTTACGATAAGCTTGTCCTCCATTTTCCACACCTTCAGGTCCATTTCCATATGTCCACATGAGTCTTCGTGCTGATTGGTTATCGTGACGCGAATATTTGCTTGAGTTGAGATATTTTCAACTTTCATGTCTTGTCACATGTATGTTCACTATTTGCACAGTAATAAGTGTTGCTGAGTAATGCACCTCTATCTACTCTCAGATCCAATCAAAAATAACAACAGAAGGTTAAGATAACACAAACCAAAAGAAAAAGCGACATTTTTCAAAACACAGAAACTCATAAATTATAACGCAGAAACCATGTTTGTGAAAAAGTTTCACTGATGTTCATCATGACTTTTAACTTTGAGCTTCTGTGTGTTTCATCTGTCTTGACTGAATTTGTGTCCAGCCAGAAGGAAGAGCTCTAAATATTTGGCTTCACTTTGGGGAAGCTGTTATGATTCCCACCTTTTTGCACAGCCTCCTGACTTTGTTCATTTTTATTTCTTTTCAGGAAAAACTCCAAGATACCTGATGGCCCCTCGACTTCAATGAACGCAAGCTCATCAGGTATGTGTCTAAATCTAGATTGTATAACCAACGATTGAAGTAAAGGACCTTTACATTCATGCTCTGATGTGTACATCTAAGATCCAAGGTCTAAAATAAGTGTCCTTTTTTAAACGTATGTTCTTTGTCTTTGTAAAATGAAACATTTTACCATCAGAATAATCAGATTTGTCCTTCTACAATGCTCACAGTTTTTTCAAGCGAAGCATCTTTTTCTATTTAGAGACACTCAGTTTTTGCCCTTTTATTCTGTTCTACCTCCAGTAGATGTTCTTTTCCAAACATGAATATTTATAGATGTTGCTGTCCAAATTTTCTCTCAGAGCAGCTTCATCTATCAAACATAAGTATTATTATCTAACAGAAAATGACGGTTAGTGGCTGACAGGTGGTGTTCTAAATACAGTGACTTAGTGAAAGCTCAGTTTATCCAGAAAATTGAGTCAATGAAATCTGCTGCCAGCTGCTGCTGTTTACGCTCCTCTTCACTCAGCTGTCTGGCATGACTCCCCTCTTTCTTCTAGGTGTGACATCTTTAATCCCAAAGAGTCGGGCCTGCAGAGCCGGAGTGATGGACACTGCCAAGGCCTGGGAATGCTACATACAGCAGGAGGAGTATGAGGAGGAGAGATTCAGAGGGCACAGATATGATTGGCATCAAAGAGGAGGCAAAAACAAAGACAGGAAGAGCAGCAGATCTGCACGCAGCAGGTGAGTCTTTACCTGGAATAATTCAAAGATCAAGTTAACGGAGGTCACTTTAAGGTAATGTATGCAACTCTTTAAGCAAGACACATTGCCCAATCTTCCTCTGTGTCCCTCCTTTGACTCTGAGATCCTGGATGAGAAGACTGGTGCAAATGTCTGCTGAGCAGCTGTGCTATTCTGTATTAGGCAATATATAGAGTATTGATTCTGCTCCAGATACCCTCTCTGCTGTAAGCCTCTTCAATATGTGTGCATTTGAGGTCTGTCTATCTTACTGAAACACACATGGAGGCATGAGCATATGTGTGCAGAAAGTCTGATTTTCTGCAAAGTGACAGAAAACTTCAAAGAAACGAAAAACAACAAAGAAAGAGGAGGAGGAGGAAACGGTCTGTTTGCCAGGTGAGACAGGAGGTGAGGGCAGTGTTGGCATCAGTTCTGAGTCGTAATTCAGCAGGACAGTCCATTATAGTAGTGTGTGATGGAAGGTACTGTGTGAACTCTATACTGCAGCTGGGAACCAAAACCTGAAAACACATGGAAGTTATAAAAGAAAGTATTTGGCACCTGTGAGACTTCTTTAGCTGGTTCTGTTCTTAGAGTGACTTAACCTAGTCTATATTTTATCTACACTGTGGTAAGTGTGGTCTGTTCACCTTTGGGTATCAGTGTGGTGGAGAGGTCTGCACTGTTACTTTCTCCTGCTGTCTAAAAACATGCTTATAGGCGAATAGACCATACCATGGCAGATGACTTCTTACAATGTCAAACTTAAATATTATCATGTTTCGATGCTGTTTTCTAGATCATAAGTCGTGTAAACCTGATACTCGTTGGCCATTTCACAACTTCCAAATAAGCTGCTGTGTAGATTGTAAAAAAAAAAAATTCAGAGAAAGACAGGCTGTATTTGAAGCTAAAGACAGATATGGCAGACCATTACCTAGCCACAGCTGACATTAGCATGTGGCCACTTCCACTTTACATTTGTCCTGAAAAATATCAAATGCCACTGGAAGGAAGAAATGTTTTCTAAAGCGAATTGATTGTTTCATGGATGACTACTTAAGTTGCTTTAAATTTCATAGGTTTCTATTTCTACATTATATAGGCTGGTAGCCACTGGTGTTATGGTTGAATAAGTGACACTGTTAACTAGTGACTTTCAGCATTTTATCACCATAGATGAACTGTAATATAATTGGGTGAAGGGTTAATGACATCATCGATTTGTTGACTTCAGACCTAGTGGACAGCATAGATGCAAAATAGTAGTTTGTGAGCTTCTCTACCCAGAACATGGCCTCTGTAAAAATATGGTCTATTGGTGACTTTTAATTTCCAGTAAATGTGATTAAGATCAGTTGGTTGTCTGTTAGTTGACCTTTCTGGCATTGACCTGCCTCTCGCCCAATAAAAATTGTGCTTGCCTCAGCCCCATCCCCCGAGACCTTTAACATGATATACAGAGGGAATAATGGATGGATGTGTATTTGCCTTGTTTATGAAAGTCTGAGAGTGTTCTCTGAAAGTTGTGCCCTGTGTCTTTGAGTGTGTCTACTCTCATATCTCTTCTGCTGTTTATAGCACGACCAGTGCTGACTGTTTAAGAAAAAAAGCACATATATTGTGAAGAAATGCAATCTCCTGCAAAAAAAAAAAAAAAAAAGTAAAGAGTAGTGTGATGGAAATCCTCCAGTTTTGCAGACCAGGAGGAATTGTTGCCTGCATATGCAAAACTCTTTGTTTTCTCTTTGTTCTGGGCCAGGGTGCAGTCTACAGGAGGGAGTTTTTTTTCTGTATTTCTGGCTCCTTCCAGAATATAACTGAGAGTTTGCTGCTTTGCACAGAGCCTGAGCCCCTCTCCCAGTGGCTCACAGATGATAAGAGCCAATCGGATTTCCACTTCAATTTTTCACATAGTGGCCTACTACCCCACAGTCGCACTCAAACCCTTATGCTCACATGCATGTAGGAGACAAACTCTGTCCTACTTTTCCTCCTCACAGTCAGTGTGGACCAGTAGCCAGATGTCTATTTAATTATGATCAACTCTGGCAGCTGCCAACTGTAATACACACACAGCACATCCTCCTGCTTCCCTTAGACACCTCTGCCGAGCTGAGGCTCAAACTGTGTGAAACATTTTGCTGTGACAGAGCTCTTCTTCACTCAAACAGGAACATGTTTGTGTCACAGATGCCGAGGGTTTGTGTCCATGACCAAAACACTGGACTCAGTGTTGAGACTGCATGACCACAAACAAACCTTTAAATATGTACATTACAACTGTAGTTTATGTCCATGGTTGTGAAGCTGTGATGCTGTTTAAAGTTGTGGTTTTGTTTGTGTGCAGTAGTTTAAGATGAAATGTTGCTGAAGCTGCAATTAAGAGTGAAATAAGAAGTATTTAAGTGCTCTGGAAATATCCTCTTCCGTCCTCTTTAGGTTGAAGCGTTTTCTTGTGAATTCATTTCTACAGGATGACTGGCTCCAGTTTTGCATACTCAGCTCAGAGAGAACAATGTTGTAGGTCAAATGAGGGAAGTGGGACATGGGGACAGCTGGGCCGCTAAAGGCTAACTGCACAGGAACAAAAACATGGGAATCACATGTGTGGGACAGATGCAGTGGGAATGTAGAGGAGATTTAAAATTTCACATCATAGATTTGCTGTAAAGCTACAGTCAAAATGTGTGCTATCCACACCTTCTGTGCTCTGCTGATGTATTTGTCCTACATTCTGGTCACATGATCAGGCTTCATGCTGCTCGTGTCACACACACACACACACACACACACACACACACACACACACACACACACACACACACACATAGGTACAGGTTATGTGTTTTGTGTTATGGTGATTTATGGCTGCGCTAGGATCTATTTTTAGAGTAGAGCTGGAGGGACCCATCATTAATGTGTGGGAGGGAAACAGATGGAGCCTTCCTCAGCACTGTCTCCAGCCACCCATACCGTTCATGTGTGAGGTCACAGCAAGGGTTACTTTGTGCTTTTGGGCTGCTGCTGCAGCCACATGTCTTGCGCTGAGTCACACACACACACTGCGTGGCACGGCATCAGCTACTGGTTATCAGCTGTGGTTGTGCCTGCATGCCTTAGATTTACCACAGCTAATAGACTACAAGAGCGAACACTCACACTCTGACCACACAATACCCACTAAGTGATACAAGCAGAATCTCACCTTTAACATCGTTAGGAATATCAACACAACTTGGATGTGTAGAAAACTGCAGTTCCCTGAATGGTCACTTGAGTCTGGCTCTAAAAGTGTTTGTCAGCCCTCAGTTCCTTGTTTGAATATCACCATTCAGCAGCAGCCCAGTGGCCTGTTGCAACGACTCTCTATCAGCTATGTTTTAAATTAGGGTCTAAACCATATACACCATGGACACTCTCCTAGGGCCTCATATATCAACCGTGCGTAGAAAAGGTTCTAAATTCTGGCATAGAAATGAAATTTAGAATGTGCATAAGTACAAAAAAATCTGTATTTTTTAAACATGCGGACATTGGTTGTACGCACACTGGTAAGTAATCGGTGATGATAAATCCCACCTGTTTTTTACTACTGTGCACATGCATGGTTGGGGTCATTTGCATTTAGAGACGCCTCCAATTGACCATATATGGTATCAACAATTCCTTTAAAATGCGTGAATGGATTTTCCCGCCTTGCCGAAATCATGGAGGTGCACACTCACAGAGCTGTTCTACAGAATAAATGAGTCGTGCGTTCTTCCAGGCCACCGGGCAACAATGTTTACAGATACTTATGTGCATCTCAGATTATTTGTGCATTGACTGAATGAAATCCTTTTCTGTTGACATAACTGAATTCATTGTGGGAAGGTGCTTTTATTGCAATCTGGGTGCAATCTATGGCTCCAATTATGTTTGGGAATCCAGCGATGGCGTGAAATCCTCGTTTTATTTCGGCTTGTTGGTGTTGTGTGTATGGGAACTGGATGTAATTGAGGCCAGAGAAATTATTGCACCGGCATGATTCTGCTTAGCATTGGCTGTGAAATGCTGCATATGTCTCCAATATCACGCTGAAATGTTCCGGCAGGGTGGACAGGAGCTGTATGTACACTAGGATGGCTTTGGTGTGTTTTGTCTCTCGCTCCAACACGGGTTGTAAATCACGGCATAAACCCATTGAAATATTTTTTGGGGAAGCGGTACCTGCTGAGAAGCCACTCTGAATTCTTACAGATCAGCACAGTCTTTGAAAATGCGCTCCCTGCAGAGCATACGGTTCTCCAAGTCCTTCAATAGCGCAAAATAAGCCATGATACTTGTATTTGTACTTGTAAGACTTCTTTTGAGGTTGTTCTGTCACAGTTGACTTCTATAGCTTGTCACACTAATCATTCAAAATGTCTGCTAAATAATTGATAAATTTTGTATAGAGGCAATGGAGAACATGCGTGTAGTTTGAGATTGCTGAACGCTGTGACTCCTTTAATGAGTTCTATTTGTAGTTTTACTGTTCTACTACTAGATTTTGTGTGGACGCATGGTCAGAGTTGTGCCTAAATTTACGCACGTTCCTCAGCACAAGTACAGGTTGATAAATTCCATACATTGCATGGGAATGTTCATACGCACTCATTACGCACACATCTGTGCGCACCCACGGTTGAAAAATGAGGCCCCTGAAGAACACATAATAAATAAAGATTTATTTTAGTTGGCACACCACACAGTTTCACTGTGGTAACATTACATTAGCTTAATCATTACCTCATAATTCTTTTTCATATTTTGCGTACGTTTCTGCTGCTGTCAGTTGAGCAATGGGAGTTACCATTGATTATTTTCAGCCATTAGCCTGTTTAGAGGCAGTCCATCATAAGAGTAAGCACTTCACCAATCACTTCACAAGGTGAAAAGATTTTATCTGATTGACTACCAGAAGTGTAAACCTCATATTTTGGTTAGTTTAGATGTTATGATCTACTAGCTAGATTAACTTTACACCCAAAGAGGCAACTAAACAAAGGCACAACTGGATTATTTTCAATATATATCTAGGTATGGCCTTTACACTCTAACGTCAACAAAACTTATGCATAGCTGGTGCAACAGACCAGTGGAATTTAAGAGTTAGTTGAATGGATGGTTGACAAACCAACTGGTGACATCACAGTGGCTGAGTCCATTATTTTCCCTGGCTATGCTGCTCACAGATGGGTGCAGGCAGGGGATGTAACATGAACATTTGGTCAACACTGACTGCAGCTCACATCTCTGTATGATAAATGTATCTCACATCTTTCCAGCTGGAGAAACTTCAGACTCATCATTGTCTCTTTCATGTGCACATATGCTCAAGCTCACACAACATGCACTTTCCACCAGTCTTGGTCCATTTCTCACACATGGTACAGATCTACCCACTGAAAAGAGACATAAACTCTATTTGAATTCCCTTCAGCAGGAAAGCATGCACACTGAAGTTCACTGGATCATAAGTGAGCAGAGGATTTCCCGCTGCGATGAGGAAATTAAAATGATAATTGTAGCCCTGCTTAAACGTGCACTTAAAGCTTCATTAGAAAGCGCTGTAAGGCTGCTTCACCGTTAACAAAGGCTTGGCTGACTCCGAATACAGAGCAGAAGCTGATCATTGAAAAAAGGCGGATGTAATACAAAGCAGTGGAAGCAAATTAGGGCTCTTCTAATTTGCAGCAGCTAAAACGTGGTTATAAGACTAAACAGCCTCCAAACAAATTAAGACCTGTCAACAACAACATCTCTAGTCTATTTGCAATAATGCACAATGGAGTTCTTTCCTTCTTATTGAAAAAACTTTTTCAGAAACTTCATGAAACTGTCTCGAGGTTTTAAAAAAAGACTCCTCTGTGCAGCTTTGATGGCATCCTTCTGTTGTGGATGAACATTGTTGTCCTAGTTCCAGCTTTGGAGGCACTCTGTGATTCAAATTACAATTTTTCCTTAACTTTAGGCAGAGCTGGATGGAGTAAAACCTGCTTTTTGCTTGACTTCCCTCAGCTGCTTTGTGCCTGATGCCACTCTTATCCTGGCTTCAGGGTCTGTCTTAGAGCCTTTCTTTTCTTCCTCCTACATCTGTTTTTATTCTGCCCTCACCAACATGCTCAGCCCTCACTGCGACATACTCTCTGTCTTTCTGACTCAACTTCATGTATGAAACTCATTTCTTACAGAGCTAGTCTGAGCTCTGAACCTAATCAATTTTAATGTTCCCTCTACACAGCCGAGTTTTCTGAGCGTTGGACCTTCAGTCTGTTTTTAAATATTCAACACACAGCATCACTTCATGTCTCAGCTTTACTCACATTGCTGCCATAGCTTACTCCGCATGTGGTTCGTCATTCCTCTGCGATGAATACAAGAAATCTCAGCCTATAGGGACACTTCACTTGAATTATTTTTCTTGTAAATGTGCCATTTTTCTCTGAGCTGTAGGTTTCAAATTCTTTTTGTAGATTTAAGTCAACCTAAGCCCCAATTTTCCATAATCATCTGTCTTGAAATGTGAAAGGTGAGGGTCAAACATATTGGGCACAGTTTGGGATTGACTGATTTAACTGATAGGTGAGTGCGTTGTAGGTGTTTCCCAGAGGGCTTGGCCACCACAACATCCCACTCCTTCGTTGGGTTCATAGGCTGTGTCCAAAATGAATCACTTAATCCCTAACCCCTAATTCCCCATATGGAGTTTCACTATATAGTTGACTATGTAGTGAACTCTACTACATGGCAAGACGCAATGCATGACAAGATGCCCACCACCTGTGAGTGATCATCGGATGGTCACTACGTTTTGCAATTCTTTATGGGAAATTTTGAGTTGCCTAAATGGGGCACTGGAATTGATCACTCAGTTTTCAGACACCCCTCAAAATGGCGCTAACCCCCATATAGTCACCGATGTAGGGGTTAGGGATCCATTTTGGACACAGCCATAGACTGTATATACTATGGACAACTTGGCTCCACCTTCTGCCATTATATGAGTTTGAAGCTGATTTGCTCTTGGTATTTCTGGGATTTTCTCCACTTCCTGAAACCACCACTCGTGCAGTAATGTTTTATGGATTTTATCACTTGTGCTGTAGTGTTGTACGCATTTGGCGGTAGAGTCGCTGTAATAATGCTCGGCTCAAACAGGGTATCCCCCTGGTATCCCCCTGTGGCTATGCAATCTTCGTATGCCCATAGGCTGTATCGTGTCAATCATAGAAAACATGAACCCCCTAATAACTTTTAAAATGGAGCTGTACAGAAAGAAGAGGACTTGAGCACAAACCAGTCTTAGAATAACTACATGTCAACAGCGCAACCAGGGGGAAGAAAAATCGGGATTCATGACCTATACTGCAGCCAGTCAGTGGAGGGTGCTGTTCTCGGGTCAGCTTCACTCAGCAAGGAGGCAGACGGCATCCACTCTATATACAGTCTATGTTTGGTATTTGGTGAGCATTACAGTTAGCAGTATGGCCCTTTCACATACTTGTTTGGAAGGCCAAAGCGTGAGGCTGGGAGAGCACACCTCTCCTCTGTTTCATTTTACATTATAACATTCACTGTTAATTTGAGTGAAGCCCCGACAGGAATAAAATACCAGCAGCAAATAATCTTTTCCATATTTGTGGTCTGTGGTTAATTTGATGCAAATGGTGCGGATTCTCTCTGAAATAAATACAGTAATTAAAAGATGATTATACCTCAGGGGCTAGAGGTGGGTAATGAGCAGCAAGTTTGATTATTTTGGTTTAAAAAAAGGCAGTAAAGTTGCTTTAATTATTCTGCTATAAAGATTTTGAGGACTAACTGGGGATTTAGAGAAACATTTCTTCATTATATTAACAGAAGATGTTTTCTGTCTCCGCATGTTTACTTTGGTTTTATTTCAGTTGTGTGTTACTAACCAATCAGCTTCCTGGAAAAAAAAAAAAAAAACTGGCTTTACACTGAGTATAACAAGCACTCTTCAAAGCAGGGAGTAAAATTCAGAGCATGAGGGATTTTTATTTAAGTCTCAAACCGTCTACAAAGAGCGGGAATGTTTCCAGCTCTATAAATAGATAATGATACTGACAGATGTATTTTAATTGTGCAGAGATTTTATCATCCAGACAGTGCTGATGCCTTTACACCCTCAGATCATCTCTGCAGCTTAGAATTACATAAAATGACTTTGTGATGATATTAGGAAAACAAAGCTCAGCGGGAGCTTTCTCTCATGTGTTTCACATTTTTTAGTAGTTTGTTCATCTTAACAAAAAGATACACTTAGACAAAGTTCCTACAGTAATCACAGCCTGACTTTAACTTTTGGAAATGAGTTTCAGACATCCTACAGCTCCTTGTTCTGCAGGGATTAGATTATCTATTATCTTTTTAGACTTTGCCCCCTTTTTTATTCGTATCAATCTTCTGATCCACATCTTTTGTCTTAAACCTCTCTGCATTTGAATCGTACAACAAAGACTCAAAATCTGTATGCTAACTTGGCTCCTCTAAAATATGTGTGCCCGATAAATCACAGTCTGCATATTAAATGCAAGATCTTTTTAATGACACTCAAATAAAGATCAGACTTGTTTCATTTGCTCCGAGCCTGTATTTAGTCTCTTCGATTAATGTCATCTGGCCTCTTATGAATATTTAGAAGAATGCAAACCAGCAGGAGCCCTTAATTTTTTCTAAGTAAGACTGACTGTGCTGTTCCTTGCAGACACATGGCATCATGGGATTTGTCAGAGCTACTAATAAGGTCACATTAGCAGAATCTACATATTAATCAGCTCTGATATGTAAATATGAAGCATGATATTCACAGTGTGGAACATGTTACGAGAACAGGTGACACTAGAGACAGAGGGAGAGACAGTAAAGCCAGTCAATGTTGGGAGATAAAGATGTCAACCAAGATGCTGCATAACAGTGTCGAAACTGGTCTCTGTTATTAGGTATTAGCAGACTTTGGAGTCTGCAAGGAAAACTGTCTGTATGGAGAGCAAAAGCAGGAGGAACACAATCCACTGTAATGACATACCCAGCTGCAACTGACAGTGATCTGAGGAGAATTTATTTCTCTATGAACAGATTTCTGCACAGAAGGTCAGCTAACAGTCTGTTTTGGATTAAATATTAACATTAATATTAATATTAATTAATATTAATATTGTGAGCTTTAAATCTTCTTGGCACAGTGTTTGTGTCGCAAACGACAAACAACATTACGATTTCCCATATCCTGAAATACATAAGATAGTGGATCTGACAAACATTTTCAATGATTTTTTTTCTCTATGAGGACAGACCTGACAAGGCTTGACTTTTGACTTTTTAATAATCCGCATCATTCCCCCATCATGAGGGAATCAGTTGAATGTCATAAAAAGCATTTTATGATCTTGACTTTTACATTCATTCTTTTTGCCAAACCCCTTTTGATGATGATTAACGCATGTACGCATAAGTATCTTGGTAACTTTTTTTGCCTAAATTAGTCAGTTTCCTCAAAGATGTATGAGGGCAAAGACTTGTGTTTTCAAAGAATCTGGCCTTTTGCTGGCTTCAGCACAAGGACACAGCTGTGATTCTCCGGATGACCACATGCTCCACCAAACTGTAGCTGAAATAACATCTTCTTCTCCACAGGTCATTAAGTCTTGCATTTTATCTCTCTGCTCACAGCATCAATTTAATCAGGCTGATATTACTTTCATGTTAATTGCATCAATCACAAACTGTGTTTGATATCGTCAGTCAGGCTGCTGGAGTCTCATTTTAACGACTGCAGAGACGGAGTGGACATAATTACACTACGCTCTGGCTCAGACTTCTTATGAATCCTGTAATTCTGCTTTGACAGGCCCAGGAATACTAATGTATACAATCATAAAAAGTGAAAACAAATCCTGAGGCTGCCATGCTATAACTTACTCTCTCTAACACAGCCTCCTTGGGAACTGTTTCCCCATGTTCCTGGTGTTATGTGAGCTGGTTGTTTCTCTGTTAAAGCTAATGGCTCTGAGCAAGAACAAATGTGGGCCTGGGGTCCTAATCCCAGCTGCTAACAGAGGAGCTGTCTCCAAATATTGAATATATTTAGCTTTGTGCTCGCAACATCTCGGCCCCTTAAGGCTCTTTCTCTCTCTCTCTGCTCTGTGGAGCGAGAAATGGTTATAATCACTGCAACCATGTGTGAGCCTGGTGTTATGTGCAGCTGGTACTGTTTCCTCTTCACTGTTAAAGCTAGATGGCTCTGAGCAAGAACAAATGTGGGCCTGGTCGGTCCTAATCCCAGCTGCAAGATGTGCCAAGAGAGTGTTAGTGAGAGGAAAAACAACGCTGCACAGTTAGATTTCTTTTTAGTGTGACAACTAAACCAACAATATCTGTATTCAGTATTTTCTGTTTGGACCTTCAGAGACTTTTCTTTTTTAACTTTTTCTAAAGATTTGTGTTGTGAAGTTTGTGTTTATCAGGAAGCAGCTCAGGGAAAACTGCTCAAGTTTCTCTTTAGAAAAACAAGGTCAGGAACAAGAACTAACAACATTGTTTTCTTTTGAATCAGGAGAAAAATAAGTCTTCATATATTATGTAACATAATTTGGATGTATCAGCAACTGTGGAGAGTTGGCGCTGTAATCCTCATTATGTAGAAGCAGGAGAGATGCAGCTGAGATTTCATCTTCACTGAGTATTCTGTTTATATGTATGCCATCCGCAGAAAAGTTAACATAACTGATCAGTTAAACACAATGAGGAGAGTCTGGTAGGGGGTTACCTGTAATTATCTTGGTCTTTTTTCATTTTTGGAGGAGAACTAGTTTGTAAGGTCAGCCTGTGATTGGCTGGATCCTTGATGACAGACTATAAAATGGGCCAGTAAATGCCTCCATCAAACTAGAATTTTCTATTTACACTATAACACACACACACACACACACACACACACACACACACACACACACACACACACACACACACACACACACACACACACACACACACACACACACACACACACACACACACACACATACACAAAAAAACTGCATTTCAAGTTAGAATCACAATAAAACAACCTCTGGTGTTGATAAGTGAAGTCAGTGCAGAAATGCAAAACAAACTGCAGTTTTTTTTCTTTTAGTTCATTTGAGACCGTCTCAAGAAGCCAAGGAATCCACATAAAGCCTAATGCTGAAATGTCCATTTCTTCCAAAGCAGAAATTAGTCATAGCTCAGGCAGGCCTCAGAATCAGCCCACAGTATATCATCTGGTACTTCAGGTAATTGCAGTTGATGCATCTGATTGGCTAATGTCAAAACTGGCCCTCTATTTCATCTATTTCATGCTTTGTCCAGGTTTACCACTGTCATACGCATTTTCACAGTTGCCTACTCTGTGATAGGCTGGTGACCTGTCCAAGGTGTACCCTGCTTCCTGCCCAATGACAGCAGGTCAATCTCAGATAAAATATAGTATAGATAATGGATGAATAAATGGATTGGTTGTTATCATAAGGATAGCTTGGCCAGTGTTACTCGCTGTGTACATCCAACTCAACTCAAGAGAGCCCATGTGAGGTGTAGCAACATCACAGGACTCCACGACATCCATTGGTTGAACAATTAGTTTGGATTGGAGGATTTTGTCCAGTTGGTGTCCAACATTTTACAAATATGTGTCAGCCCTATGATGATGATGATGATGATGATGATGATGATGATGATGTGTCACAGTTCTTAAGGATGAACACAAAATATCCCAATTGAAAAACTTTAACAATGGACCATTCATGGTCAGAGATGATGCTAACAGACTGCAGGTGTTAAAGCACCTTGGCTGGGGATATCAGTGAAGTCAGAATTAAGCAGGTGCAAAAGAAACAAAACTGAAGTGATCAAGGACTAAAGTGACAACTTCAATAGTGACAGGCAACTTTGGGCCCTGGAGCTCCCAATAAGGTCAATTTTGACAATCACATCCACTAATTACAGGCACATGAAACACAAGAGGGAAATCAAGAACAATATAGAGACCAGAGGGCTGTCACGGCACGTTTCTCTGATCATCTCTCTGTGAATTGAAAATCTGGTTACTGTGACAACCTGCAGCCTGGAGCTGTTGTCACTAAAGTTTTATTATGTTTGATTATATAATATTGAATGTAGTGGATGTGGCCTCGGGCCTTTGTTCAGGGAACTGCTGTGTGTATTGTACGGTAAAAAGTTGTAAATTTATCTTGTGTGAGCTATAGGCTGCCCTTAAGAAACCCCAGCATGCAGCAGCTCCCCAGGCGTCAGCTGTAACTCTGAGCTCCTGCAGGTGTTCAACCTATGACCGCCTGATATACGTGATCCTGCTCTGTTTTTTTGTAAAGCATTTTTTTTAGGTGGTATGAGGTGAGAGGAGGTGTGAAGTAATGATCGGTCCTGTGGGCTGAATAATGGCCCAATCCTAATCTCCTCCCCAAAGCCTGAGCACTGAACCCTCTTATTGATGTCAGGTGTGCAGCATAAGTGCGTGTGGGAGCATGAGGAGGGTGGGGTAAAAGTGAAGAAAAGGACACACCATTTGATGGCATCACACATTACCTGGAGGCAAGTTAAGCCATTATGTAATAAGAAATGAAGAAGACCTCCATTGTGCGTTTCGTTTAAATTTTTTTTTTTTACCCGTCATGGCTTGCTTTGTTTGCACTCAGGTTTTTGATTGAAACTTTAATGAATACAATGTCCAAATATTTGTTTACAGTCAGTTATGAGCTAGACGATAATGATTTCACTCCTGCAAAGAAGGTCTGAAGAAATATTGACTCGTGGAAAGATTGATGCAGACTGTTTTTGAAACACTGAATTACAGACGCCTCACAAACTTGATGACTCATTTAGACATAATTAAACAGTCAGATACTTGAGGCAGACTTACTCTGAAAGACTTTTCAAGACCTTACAATTCGCCCATACGGAGCCCGGGAGGTGACTTTCTTTTTTTTTTTTTAACGCACTGCGATATATTATCTCGCACGTGTGTTTTATTACATTGCAGGTGCGATTTAACTGTTCCAAAATCATTTCCTGCAAGTCCAAATATCGCTGACAGTAAAGAGTCTGTGCTTTAAGGAACCAGATTAGGTGTTTCCTACTCAAAATAATACCAAATGTGCACAAGCTATAAAGTTTCTCTTTGTGAGTCATACCTAAAGAAAAGAAAATGTTGATATTATGCTCTCTGTCCAAGACACTGTCCTTCTTCTCTCACAAAGATACGTATAAAACGCACTTTCGAAATACTGAATCGCATGTGCGAATTAAAAAAAAAAGTAAAAGTTGATGTCACCTCCCGGGCTCTGTATGCCCTCAAGTATACAGATTAAAAAAAAAGATTTTTTTCTCTGTTTAAAAAAAAAATAGTTCTGTCCACACCAGAAGGTTTTTTGAATATTCCTCTGTCCTAATGACAGTTTGAAACACTTATGTAAGCATGCCAGATCAGTCGGTGGCAATAATGTGACAACATGAGAGTAATTAATTCTTTTGATGAAAGTGGTCCTGACTGAAAATGGAGGAGCTGGGGTGGAGGTGGGTTACAAAGATTTGCAGAGGAAGCAGGAAGAGTAGGCAGGCCGGAGTAATTTGAATAGAACCAACGTTTTTCGACATTTGCCAAAGTGGCTGGGTTGTCAGCTGAGATGGGCTGGTGTTAAGACATCAATAGATGTACTTTGGGCTGATTCTGACTCTCATGGCCTTTCTGAACTAACACTATGCTCCATTGTCATCAGGTGTGGCCCCTCTCAGAGTGGTCCAGGCTTTATCTTTGTCATAAATGGAGAACCTCAGCCTTAGATGACCTGATTTTCTTGTAGTGTGTGCTTTGGATGATACTGCAGCCTGACAGCAGCTTTAATGGAAAGGTCTCACTGTGACACAAATGTTATGCTCTTTGTTCCTCAAAGTGTTGGTTGGAGGGAGAGTTTGGAGGCTCAGGCAGGCAGCGGAAGGCCCTGTGGCTCTGGTTTTGTTCCTTTGAGTTCTGACTCATTCCTGTCCCAGAAGAAGGGAGAGAAAAGAGCAGCAGTCTCATGAGCTCTGCCTCTGACTGCATCGATTCTGAATAAAAACTACCTCTAGTTTCACAGACACTTAAAGTCTTTTGGGTATTTTTCCCCAGAAAGGAGCAACAGGGACACAGGAGGACAGCAAAACCACGGCACAAACGCCAAAATGTGGAAAGAAGAGGACGCAAAAGCAGAAGAGGAAGAGAAGACAGAGAGGAAAGAAAGAATAGAGACAGACAAGAGAGAGGGGGGAAATCATCTTGCAGGTATCACACACACATACACAAACACATATACACTGGTTCTAATGAAAAAGGTTAAAAAACAACAGTGATGTTATGTGATTGTGATCTGTGTTTTAGTGGTGGCAGTCGGAGCAGGAGAGACACAGGAGAGCACAAAGACAGAAAGAAGAGACGCAAAAGCAGAGAGGGTAAAAGAAAATAGAGAAGCAAAGAGACGGAAGAGACGCTCACTGCTGACCAAGAGAGGAAATTAAAGTCTGAGTGACTCTCCGCCTCCTAATCCTTTTAATGAGCAGAGCTGCCTGTGGCATCCCTCTGAAATGTAAGTTTATTAGAGAAGCTTGAGACGACTTTGTGCATGTATTTCATTAAACATCTTTCACCGGCTTTTGGACATGTTCAGTATGAATTTTCTCACACAGGAGTCTCTTTTTCCAATGACTTTATTGATCATTTAACCAAAAGTACCATCAGATATACTACACAGGCCGAAGCGTGACAGACAGAACCACAGCAGACAGGCCCCAGACCGCCCACACAAACCAAGTCAGATTTTTGTCTTAAAAGTAAGAAAATGAGTAAGGCCTCCACAATGTCACCTAATTAAATATTCTTTTGAACACCTTATGAACACACTGATTATTTCTTTTTTTATACATTTTTATTGCCAGTGGTTTGATAATTTAGCCATAGCTTTGAAATCAGAGAAAAAAACCTCAACACAGACTACTACTTGGCAACGTGTCGTCAGGTCAACAGATGAAGATGACAACCACTGTCAGTACAAACAGGATGGAGCCTAAGTTTAAAGGCCATACCACAAACAAACAGAAGAAACGTATTACAAGTGCTTGGATCAGAACTTTTTTTAGACACCCAACATTTACAGTAAAGAAATGTGAGTCCAACTTAACGCATACCCTAATATTTAACTACTGGAATTGGCAACGTGTTGTGTCTCCGCTCCATACCCCCACCCCACCACTGGGTGCTGTACTAAAGGTTGACTGTGACCCCTAAACTGATCTAAACATCAGAGTCCACAGCAGCTCAGTCCTGGATCCTCCCGGTTTTGTGTTCTTAGAGGGGCAAGTTATCCTCTGGTAAAAATCCAGTCTCATGTTTGTCCCTCTCCAGAAAGTCTCAGCTGTCCATCAGAAGTGAGAAATTCACACATGACCTGCGCTACTCTAAGCTCCTCCCACTCAGCAGGCAGTCAGTCTAAAGCTTCGCCTCCCACATTCATTGGTCCATGCCGTGAAAAAAACAGCGCTCAGAGAGCTCAGAGCTCCGCTACAGCAGGCTGCCCGGCCACGACACGATGGTCAGGGTGATTCTCCCCCGAAGCTCCTTCAGAAGCCGCACCAACGCCGTGTGGGTCATCCCCCATGTGCTCTTCCCGTTTACCTCCAGCAAGATGTCCCCACACCTGCAGAGTGACAATAGTTACAAAGATGTTTGAGCAGGAATCATTTACATCAAAAATACATGAATGATCATAACATTCATTGTACAAGATGCACCTCTAATAGTTTATTTTCCGTATAGGAGTTGAAATCTTTCGACACACCACAACTAATACACCAGTATAAAATGCAAGAGCAGCATCTTATTGAGATCTGGTAATGATCCAAGGAGCAAGACGTGAGAAGCAGCTTCTCTTTACAGCATGCTACAGTAGCACTAAGCAGGCTCATGATGCCACTTTTTAACAGCTTTCTCCCTCATGAATTTATAGCAAAATATTTTTAAGAATAAAACTTTAAAACTGATAAGTATGTAAACCTGCAGGGGCTGGTGATGCAATTATCAGCCAATCAGCAGAGGGTCTATTTCTCACAGCAATGGTTGACTGTTACTGGTTTTTCAGGACACATACTGATACCAATTTTGGGGGGTTTATGAGGCCTATATAACAGATACTAATACGTGTGGGGGGGAGGGTTGGGTTTTATTGTTGTTTTTAGCCTCTGTGAGGCACTTTGAACTGTATTTTTGTCTGAATAAGTGCCATATAAATAAAGTTGAATTGGAATCTACATTAGTGGGTTAAAATTTCACTCTTTAAAACTGGACCTGTCTTAGAAAAACAAAACTAAAACTTAACTTCATCACTTATTACTGAAGGTTAATATGAACAGTAGTTATACAGGCGATTGGCCTTGATAACTGGACAGATGGATAATGACTTGACACCTGCCTCAAAGCAATCAGTGTCACTGCAGGCTAAAATCAAGTATTGTACCGGTAACTAAAGAGGTTACAGACTCGACATGGGTCAAAAAAAAGAAAAAGAAAAAGGTACAAATGAAGACCTACACTGCTGCACAAAAACTGCACATTGTGGACCTTTCTAAATACAGAGGAAGATTGTTACGCTCTAATCCTAAAATCTCTTGGTGGTGTAAGATATAGAAAGGTATTTTTACAAGAAATTAGACAAATTAGTTTGTCATGATTTGAATTTTTGCTGGGAAATCTACCCCTAAAAACCTTTGCATTACAGAAACTGGAAACAGTAAATGTTTGCCTTTACTGCATCACATTTAAATGAATTATTTTTCATCAGAACATCAATTCAAATAAAACAGATGAGTTTCCCTCCTTTATGATAAACTGTTCCATCAAGGCAATAAACGTAGCCTAAATACCTTATCCTGCCGTCGTTGTAGGCTGGCGTCCCCTCCACGATGGAGCGGATAAAAAAGGATTGATTGCAGTTGACCTCCTCTTGACCCCCCACGATGCTGAAGCCCAGGCTGCCCGAGGTGCTCCGCCGCAGGACGATGTCTTTGCAGCAGTACAGATGCCTGCATGAGTCGAGAGAGAGAGATTAAAAACACTAATCTCTCCACTGCAACTTGAAGTTGTACAGTATATACTGAGCTGCATATCCATACTGAAACCAGCCCTGCTCTGAAGACAAAGGCCGTGCTAATCTTTGAACCAAGGCGAGACTTTCCCTCCCTGGAGGTGCGAAATGAAGAGGACGGTATGACTTCTATATCAGTCTCATAAAGATAACCCAGGGCTGTGAGAAAATCATATTTAAATCCCAGACGACAGCCCCACGGTGGCTCACGACTTAGTTTAGACTCAATCATTTCAGTTTGCGGGGGGATCGTATTTTTGTTGTTTCTAATGCGGAGAAGATGAATACATTTTTCTATCCAGCAGAAAGTTTCTCACACTTGAAAGTTTGACTTCGACAGCAGCAGAGAATATTTAAGTGGAAAAAGTTTGTCAGGAAGTATAATGAGCTTTCTTTTCCCAGCTGGCTCTGTCATCATTTAAGTTGGCACCAGCTGGCAGAGGTCACAGGGACCGGTGTGGGGGTACAAATGATAATGGACTTAGAAAAATGAAACTGAGAAAGAGGAATAATATGTGTGAGATACAGAGAGGTGCTCACCTTGGTAGCTGCAGCCATGACACCCACAGTGGGGAGTAATCATCGTTGGGCAGTGGGCTCTTGGTGCTGTCTGTGGGTGAGGATATAAGACACGGGGGCAGTGCGCAGTCCTGCAGGCTTTCTTCAGGTGGGCGCATCTCCAGGACCTTGAGCACGACAGGGGAAGAAGTATTCTTCAGGTTCGCCACAGCCTCGCCTCGCGTCACCCCCGTCAGGTCCACCCCGTTCACGTTGAGCAGGATGTCACCTGCAGGGGAGGACAGCACAGTACTGCTCAGCGTCTGTTCAGGGTTTCTGCCCTCATTAATGCTTTTCCAAAGACCTCACAGGACAGACTCATCACCTGCCTGATTAATATTCAAAAACCTTCCAGTTACAACACAAAGGGATGGGAACCAGGCGCCACCTGTGCTTTAAAAAGCCCCCTAATGATGAAAGTGTGTAAAGAAAAACAGACGGCTCAGCCCAGCCTGCTAGAAAGTGGCTCAAAGGACACATTTGCTCTGTGTTGATATGCAAATGAAGAATCCATCACAATAAAAACATGTTTCATAAGCACACAAATACAGCCGGCGGCTCCCCGGATGAATACAGTAATGTGCACCTTGAACTGTGCACAGGACAAACAGACACGATTTACTCATAATTTCAGCTGCTTTTTGCTTCAAACAGCATTTCTCCCATTCCTCTTATAAACAGATCCTGATAGACGGGGACTGAGAGTGATAGCAGGCCTTAATATGGTAATGTTTTAGGATGGATGTGCTGGAATCAGCAGTCGGGGCTGAATCTTCTCACTCGCCAACCTTCAACTATATTTCAGGGGTACAAAGACTGCCGCTTTTATTTGAGAGCAGCTCTGTGTTTTGCTCTATTTCAGAGCTGACTGATTCCATATAACAGAATAATTAAGTGCTCCACAAAAAGTCCTGAGTGTTGCTCTGCTCATGTTTGTTTGCTTTTTTGTTTAAGCGTGTTAGAGCCAATTTGTGGAGCACTGAACCCCAGCAGCACTGCTGAGTTTCTCCGTTGGTTGAATGAGCTTCATAATAAAACATGAATCTTAAGTGTTCATCAATCACCCTCCTCTTTATGTACCAAGTATTCATCATCAAAACTGAATCCCTGACAGCCTGCCAGCCACACAGAGCAAATGCTCCATCCTATTAATGAGTAATTATCTGCACAAAAGCGCTGAACATGACATTGTTGCAAGTTATTACCTTTACGGATGGAGCCCTCCTGTCCAACCACGCCATCAGAGTCCACATTTGTGACATAAATGGGGAGGTCCCACCCTCGGCTCGACATGCCACCCGCCACCGTCATACCCAGAGAGTCATAGGGCTCCTTAGTCAGGGTGACTGTCTTCTCGTAGCATGCAGGCTTCTGACAGGAATCCTTCAAGAAACACAAAGAGAGTTGTTGAAGTTGAGGTTCAGAATACACCTGACAGCAACTGACCTTTGTAAGACCAAACACCATGAATTATTTCATGTTCCCACTCTCCTGTAGGCCAGGGGCAGTAATATGAACTTGATTGGGTGTTGCATTCTGGTAGACCTAATCATCTAAGAAAGCCAGCTTGTCTGCAGTTTCTAGATTCTACATAAAGACTATGTAAGGGTATTAGCCAGCTCACTTCTGCTGTAAACCTCTTTTGTGATACAGGTCAAGGGAGTGGATGTCTTCCTAAATCAATCAACAGTGTCAAGGAGCTTCTTATTTTCCAAAAGGTGACAGAACTGTGAAAAAAAGTGATAACATAACGCCATCTTTTTGGATGACAGAGGCAGCTCAACTAGCAGCCCCTTTTTAAAGCATCCAATGAATCTGAGACACTGATTATTAACCTGATCTGTTGCTTTGAGTTTTTACTGTTTTTAAGTACAAAACTGTGAAGGAAAAAACACAAGCTAATAGTTTGTCACCATTATTAACACTGTAAAAGAACACAAGTAAAGTCTTTCACACAAGCTCAGAGTATGTTATTGGAAGCTCAGCTTGCAGCCCCTCTAATCAAACTGTATCTTTCACGAAGTCTCTGGGAGAGACAAGAATAACCACTAGATAAAGACTTATCAGTACTTAAGAAAGCAGATCTGCCAGTATTGGCAGCTCAGCTAGCAGCCCCCTCACCAGATAAACAGTAATCGCGGGGAGCTGGTTATCTTCTGGAGCTGGATGCTAATTTTCAACTTGAAACTACTTTATTTATGTCCAACTGGACTGAACAGTGGGGTCAATTAGCTTTGAAGAGGAAGAGAGCTCTCTGAGGGTGGCCCTGTCGATACAATACTGTAACTGGGGCGCCAGTTCTGCTAAGTGGTTGACGCATGCGCTCCATGGGAGGCTACAGAGGCTATGGTCAACATCCCAGCAGTTGTTATTCTGACTACCAGCCTCAATTTTCTGCTGTCCTCTCTATTTCCAACGTTGTGTGTCAAAGCTGTCCTGATAATTAAAGCAGTATAACCAGAAAAATAAAATGCAAGTGATTTTTTGGGAAAAAGTGAGATTATACTTCAGGCAGTTCAGCTTCAGACTCCTCATATTCTTTGTCTAGTAGCAGAAAAAAAGTGAATGTAATCATACTCATGTTTGTCACCAAACTACAAACACAAGGACAATCATTGTTGATATATTTTGTCTTAAGGGTTTTCATTGGGTATTCCCATAGTAATAAGTACAATAACTCAAGACCGAACATGATATGAACTTAATTGTTACACCAAGGGCACCTTCTATACACTACATAATCTAATTAGATCTGGAGGAGCACATTTGCATATTAATAAACTGTTTTCTCTGGGACGTGTGATATTCCTCCTGATTATAGGAAAATTCACATGAACACCAGGTGTGCTGTGTTTTAGAAGTGTGAGTCCAATGACAGAGACATAGGTGGTAATTAATGAAAGACCTCATTAGCATAGCTGGTAATGTATAATATATGATGGTTATTAGGGGACTGGGCAGCTCAAGTGTCTCTTTATTTCATGTGCAGGTTGGATATGGAGAAGATGATTTATTCATAAATGTCATGATGTGCGATTCGGTTTGGTGCAGAAGTCAGTGTGTGGGGTAAGGCGAGTCTAATTTTATTTATGGCGTGTGTGTTTGTGTGTCAGTCGGGGGACAGAGCTGCAGATTCCAGTAGTAATGAATAACACATGGACACATTGAGGCTGATTGGACGGAGCTTGTGCTGCGCTGCTAATGTGCTGCATTCACACATTTCTGCTGCGCTCACACGAGGAGATCGCTCGCTGTCACATGACTGACCCGGGGGCACAGCACGCACTATAGCTGAGTGAACACTGTCTACACACACTGCCATCCCACACAATACACTGTGGGTTGTGGGGGATGTGTAGTGAACAATCTTTTGAGAGCAATGTGCAAAAGATTCATAATAATACATCATTAGAAACAGTCACTAGTATATAGGACTGACTGTAAGGATTAGAAACTGTAAGTGAAAGGGACTCTAATGTCTCATAAATGAGCTATTATCTGCTCTAAAAGCTGAACACGACATTACAATAAACATGATTATAACTGGGGGTTTCTTAAAGTGGCAGACACTCTTTCTCAAAACATAATCAGGTCAGTTGGAACCAGAAAAAGTAAGGCTTCATTTACAATAACAGTTTGCCATTTTAGAAAAGTAAATGGTAAATGGAACTTGTTTATACAGCTCTTTATTTAGCCATCCATCAGTTTTGACTAATCCCACTCATACACTACTGGGCACAGCCAGTGGGGGCAGGTTGGGTCAAGTGTCTTGTCAAAGGACACTTCAGCATGTGGACAGCAGGAACTGGGATCGAACCCAAGAACAAAAAGACTCACTTATCTGTAGGTGTGGGAATCACAAGTAGCCCAACAATACGATATTATCACGACACTTGGGCCAAAATACAATATTATTGTGATTTTTGCCATTTTGCAATACAGTAAGCATTACGATACAATATATTGTGATTCATAAAATTTTATCAACTGTTAAGCCAATTAAGCATTTGTCTTTCCTTTATGTTTGTCTTATTTATGCTGTATTTTATTTTCATGTAGCACATCATGCAAACCTTATATATATTTGTTGTACTAACTTTTTCCTGCTCTATGATGTCATCTCTGCCAACCTTACTGGATAAACTGTTGATTTTATTTTTCCATTATCATAGATTTGACTTCATATTAACAATAACTAATCTGCTAGCCGACTGTTCCTCCATCATTTGTTTGCTCGTTAATTGGGTCTCAATTGCTTTATCAAATCTTTGTTTACATATAGCCCATTGTTTTTTGTACGCAAACAAAAAAATAATTTGTCATGGAAATAAAGGCAATACTTTGTTCTTATTGGTCAGAACTCCTAAATGACAGTATTTCATTCTCAATAGCAAAAGCAACACAAAGGACAACCTGACTGCACAAACAATATATCAAATCAATTCTTCAGGGTGAGCAAGACTGCTTCATGTTGGGGTCTGGCTGGCCTTGTCAGAAATTTAATTTGTACAACCACCTGTTTAGTAAACATTATCCTTAATTTGAATCTGTTGTATAGTCATTTTCAGAGCCTTTTGTTGGTGATACCAGTAATCTGGTTGAAGTAACTGAAAAAAAGACCACCAACTACAATCTTTAGAAAGTTGAGACGACTATTGCGATCACTGTTATGTTTTGATTCCTGCTTGGGTCTACCACACAGCTCTAAAACAGGTCCAGCTCATTGTTTTCATTGGCTTGTTGTTAGTCCCTCTGATGCTCTCATTGGAACTGAAAAACTGCAGTTTCATGTCACGTTGCAGATTAATCAGTCAGTTTGGAAGGTCTGGAAACAGGAAAAGCCAGGCTGGGTTTTTCCACTTTGTCTTTAGTAAAATGCTAAGCTAAGCTAACTCTCTGCCAGCTGTAATTAATGTTAAAGGTAAAAACATGAGAGTGGTATCAATCTTCTACACAAACCTGTCTTGAACAATGATCTATTCCTTATACAGGATATTTAAACCAGAATGTATGTTTTTGTCATAAAGGTAAAATGATCTATGAGCATCTTTACTTCTCTGACCATCTTTAAACTTCGCTGTCACTGCACGTTTTCTGCTTGAAACAGACTTTCTTAAAATTACCTTGCAGCTTTAAAGACTAAAGCAGCACTGTCATATCGAATCTATCATTTTAAGAAGGAGCGATGTCACAGAGTTCAGGAAGAAACTGAGAAAATCTTTCAGCCGAGGATGGAGGAGGATAATCTTAATCCTGTGGGATGAGCGGCTGTTTTCTGTGAGGCTGACGTGGATGCAACAATTCCCTGAGAGGAGAAAACGACCCCTCCAGCTGTACTGCCTGAATGACATGCTCAGCCCTGACGGGGGAATAATACCTCCACGGATCATTTGCACCTGAAAAGGAATATTTATCACGGGAAGGGGAGACAGAGGAATAAAGCTCCTCGGTGTGTCAGAGCTGTTTCTATCTCATGTGTTTGCGTCTGTATTTGCTGCTCACCAGTAGTGTTTGCTCTATATCCACAGGGGAATATGGTGGGGGACCATCCATGCCCCACGGAGCCTCCTGGAGGATGTCTGGGGTGGGCAGGCAGATCTGACGAGATACTATGAAGTGGACTCTCTCCTCGCTCGCCTGGAGACACCAAGAGATAATAAAACTTTACTGATACTTATATTTTACACATTTCAAAGCAACATTAAGATTAAGAAAGTGCATACAAATCCCATGTTTTCCTATGAAGGCTGCAGCAAAGCAGCTGGTCAGCTCAGAGCACCTGACTACCATTAGGAGTTTGAAACGAGATGATATCCCCACAGCAGCCATCTTTCTGTGACCTCATCCTCAGGATGGATAACCTCATCATATATTATTACTGCTTTTCAGGTCAGATAAACTCCAATATTCTGACAAATTTCACAGCCCACAGATTAGTGAGCAGCCACAGAGACCAAAGACAAAAATAATCTGAAGAGAGATCAGTCTGTATTTTAAGTTCACATAAAGCATTTTTAAAAAAGTAAAAAGATAAATAAATAAATACAATTTGTGTATCTCTTAGTTACGATCAGAATAGAGCTGACCCGATACAATATTGATATCAGGTATCGGCCTGATATCAGCCAAAAGACAAATATCGGATTATATCAGCCTGCATCTAAAATCTCCGATATCAGCACAAAGATACAAGCAGTCCATTCCAGACTCCACTCTGACACCTCTAGCTAGCAGTGCCCTGATCCAGCATGCAGAGCCCACAAGATCACAATGATAGTATGTACAAAGAAACAGACAAAGTAGCAAGGAGTGGGAGTGATGTCGGCCTTGTGGCAGGATTTTTTGTTAAAGTCCGAAAAAGACATTGCAGCTGAGTGCAAAACTTACCATGCACAAGTTTGTGCCAATATCGGGTCAATATCGGTATCCACTGATACTGAAGGCTACAATATCGGTATTGTATCGGAGGTAAAAAAGTTGTGTTGGGACACCCCTAAATCAGAATAACTTTTCTTTTAAAACCTGGAATGACACAGTTGGTGAAAAATGTTGGTTGATTTCAAAACAAAATGTTACTTAACCACTAAGAAAGCATCATATCAGCATAGTATTGTACTGATAGATGATAGTTTAAAGAATCAATCACTGATATCAACAGATATTACCTGCAGAAAAAAGTGACTTGGTAAATAAAATGAGAGTGCCTACATGTTTGAATATGTTTCCAAGTGCCGTTAACAGACTGACTGTCCATAATCAAAGAAGGATCAATTTATGATACCAACACCATGCATTCCTATTCTGCATGTTTTGACAACCTGCTGCTAACATTCCCTGGACATGTATTCATCTTCATATTACTGGGTTAAGGAAGTCCATGTGTCAAGTTGTGTAGTCTTCATTGTTTGAAAAATCACTGTACAGGAAAAAGTTCTCCAGTAGAAATATTCGTTGGACTCAACTTGTGACTGAAACTCTGCGCCTGAACTGCCAGTCCACTCTCTCTCATTTACACATTCACATGCGAATGGCCTGACTGACACAGACTGCCTGGCTGCCTCTGTCCCCCCTGAGATTTCTCTGGACTCAGCAGCTCAGAGCTGAATCCTGAATTAGCCAGTCCGGCCCATTATTGCCTTAATTGGACTAATTTAATTTCTTCCCTGCCAGTTCTTAATCTCTGACAGAAAGTGCCTGCTTGGAGAGGCCATGTTGGCTCCACAGAGGCCCACAGAGTCGCTCAGACAGGAACTCCGGGGCCCTGAGACCCTGCACAGTCAGCCGCAAAAACACTGCAATTAACCACAATTAACCACAAACACACCATCATTGACTGGCATCAGCCAGGAACCAGAGACAGACGCACGACCCTGTCCGTCAGGGAATCACTACAATTAAATACTATTAACTGCAGTGAGTGCAGACACAACTGCACAACACAACACAATTAGCCTCAATCACCACAATTATCTTTAATAGCTCAGGGAACCAGAGTCAGACCAGCACTCTGCTGTTCATGGACGGTCTGGAGTGATATCTGACTCATGCAGCTCTGAACTTTTGATAAATGTGGTAAATGCTGTCTGAGTCTGACTGATAAAGTTTGACTCATAACTTCACATGAAAACCTCAGACTGACCTGGATGAGCAGTGCTGCGTGTTCTGGCGCTCCAGAACGTAGATCGTGCCCGTTGATGGCCAGCACGCGGTCTCCAACACACAGCTGTCCATCTCGTGCCGCCAGCCCACCCTCCAGTAGGTGAAAGATAAAGACACCATGCTCCTCCGGTCGCCTCACCAGCTTGATTCCCAGCTGTTCGTCCGGGGCGGTTTTATTCAGGACCACATGGATGCTGTCGTCCCTCAGGGGAAGGTGTGGTAGGCCGTGAGACGGGTGGCCCATGGTGATATCATGGCCATGCCAGTGGCTGTGTTGGTGACTGTGTGAGTGTGAGCGATAGCGGTGGCGCTGTTCTCTGAGCACGGTGAGCCGGAGGAGTTGGCAGGGCTGTTTGAGGGCCGCCATGGCAAAACAGTGAGGTACGTTACTGATGTCGATGCCATTTACCTGAGAAACAACAGAGGTGCGCTTTAAAACATGATATATAGTGTCTGTGAGCATTGGCATTATCTATTCTTTTTCTAATAGTCCAGCTGACAATAAAATAAAACCATTAGCACGAGTTAAATTTCATGTTAATTCAACATAAAGACAGTTCTTGAAGAGGTCTGGAAAAGCAAATTGAGCAGATCATATGAATGTGAATCACTTGTGCTGTGATAGCCAATCAGCATGGAGATGTTCTGATGACATCTGTCAACAACTCAAAAAAAGAAAAGTAAGTGAAGAGGTCAGTTTATCTGGTAGATTGTACCAACACAATAAATCTTTATGTAGTCAACAGTGTTTGACGTAAACAGACTGAAATGATGTGAGAATGAAACTTTTATTCCCTGAACAAACTATTCAAAGAATCAGTGATTAGTTCACCCCCTCGAAACACGTCCATTCAGTCACAGACAAGAGACAGAATGACTTACTCTGCTATTAACGGAAAGTATCAGTTAGAGCTGTTGCAATTTTCCCCGAACTGACAAAAAGTCTTTTTGAAAAAATTTAATGAATGAATGCCTTCATATTCATACGATAATACTGTCCAATTAATTTGCAGCTTCTGGTAACACAGATGAAAATCTAACTTTGAACAATATTAGAAAGTTTGATGGCATTTAAGATAACAAAAGAAAAGAACTTTATTGATCCCAAAGGGAAATTCAATACAGTTCTTGTACTGTAAGTAGGGCTGGGCAATAAACCGAAAATTTACAGACACCGAAATTTAAGACAATAACAGACATCATTTTGCCCATATCAGGATATTTGGTGTCAAAAATTACATAAATAAAAGTTGGTTTTGGATGTATGTAGGTAGGCTTTGATCTCATTTCCCTTCAAGACGCTGTCCTACGTCAGAGAAGTGACTCCACCCCTTTCAGTCCGTAACAAAGAGGGAGAGACCGGTGAGGAGATGGAGGACGGTTCAAAAGTTGTAGCGGCTGAAGCGACGGCTGAAGTAGACAAAGTTAATGTGGGAGGGGGTTAGCAGCTTGTGGAGTAGTAATCATCCATTTATCGTTATCGAGGTGAACTGCTCAATATATTGTGAGATTGATTTAAGGCCATACTGCCCAGCCCTAACTGTAAGTGAAGTTTATGAAGTTATGTTTGACTTCATACTTGTCTTCGATCAGTTAATCTGACTGATAGCACTTTTTCCCACCATAAGTATTGCGATAACATAATCCCCACTTAATTTGCCATGACATTCAAGAGGTGTAAAGCTGCTGTTGTGACAGTCCTTGTCAGAGTGAATCTGGGTTTACAAGGTTCTGACTTCTTATCACTGAACTGTGAAAACAGTTTTCATTGATACCTTCAGGATCATGTCCCCGGGCAGCAGGCGCCCATCCCTGGCAATGACACCTTCTCTGTAGATGTCCTGGATGAGGATGCGAACCAGCGGGGTCTCATTCCCCCCGACAATGCTGATGGCGAGCGGCTCTGAGGGCTCAGCTCGTGTGATCTTAATACTGGTGACTTCACCATCGGGGATCAGGTGATGCAGCTGAGGGAGAGCCAGCACTGAGGGAGGAGAAAAGAGCTGAGTTTAGCTCTGAGTCTTACAGTAAGACAAGAACATCTGACTGAGTGCCAGATAAAACAGGGGAGGAGAGAGAGAGAGAGAGAACATGGAAGGGGGAAAGAGAGGTAGACATGGTTTAGAGGTTCAGCAGAGAAACCAGCTGTCTCTACTCCCTCAGGTTACTAAAACAAACTTGTACAAGCCAAGAGGGAAAATTCACTTGGCTGATCATCCCACTCAATGTTTGTGTCATTAGTCACTTACATCTGCAGCAAGTATGCTTGGGAAAACCCTTAATTTCAGATTTCCACAAGGTTATTACCCGGGTGGGGATGCAACACAGTTATAATGTGCATAAAATGTTCTTTTTTTTCCCCCCTAAAAGCCATGCACTTTCTCAACAAAACAAATATAAATCTACCCGTGGGTTTTCAGAAAATTCATGAGCTTCAAAGAGGTCTGAATTCCAATTTCTGGATTTGCATCGGGAGAGGATTTTTCTTCAATTTTCACCTCAAGACTCAACCGAATAAACAAACATATGCAACCTTCTCAAACCATGAAAGTGTGCAGATACATCATCATGTTTGTGCAAAAGCCCCTCTCCTATGTCATGAATTACACTTCACAGCAGAGTGACACATCCTGCATTAGGCGTTTGGAGATGGGTGGGGATCTTTTGTGGCAGTTTTGGCCAACAACCCCGGCCAGTAAATGACAGAGAAGATGTATTCCTCCTCATCTTATTTCTTCCTTCCTTTCCTTCCCCTCAGCGGCCTGTCTCAGCTCCGTATCCTCGGCCGTTTGTTCTCCTCACGCTGCACTTTCTCCTTTCCAAAGTCAATATTTTGTCGTTATCGCGGCAGATTGCTTCCAGGGTGGAGACCACATTAACACAGGGACCTGCAGCTATTATGTAACCCTGATTTCTCTCCATCACACACTCATTCAACTTCCCTGTTTTTTGTCTCTCCTTTTCATCCATCCTTTGGGACTTTACTACTCATTTATTGGTTTCCTTGTCTCTGTTGTCTCTCCCTCTATCTGCTCTTCCCTTCGTTTGTTCCTCAGTTGTCCATCCTTTCTCTCTATCTCTGTCTCTCCAGCAGCAGCCAATGAATATTTAATCTATTCTCTCAGTCACTGAATAATCTAGTCCCCCATCATTCGTCATCCCTCATTCTTACGCAATATCACATTCCTCCTCTTCTCGCAATCATCCCATCACGCCGCGCTTCTTCTCCATCATTATGCACTCGAAATGATCCACTTCTAACTTTACTTTTTCAAGAGTCTGACTAAAGATGTGACGGTTTCTCCTCTTCCTAACATCTTATAGATCTAACATGTCTGGAGCCCTCCTTTGGGACTCCTCCATCAAGTGGGTGCAAACCTGATGACCCTGGCTGTTCTGGGGGAGGAGGGGACGGAGAAGGATAAGATGTTGAGAAGTGGGAGGACTGGAGGAGGAAAAATGGATGAAGGACGTCATCCTCCACATTTCCAGTGACCTCCTGTATCCTGTCCCTGCCTCAGGCTGCCTCTCTCCCTCCTTGATCGTCTCCTGTGATGCACTAGTGGACTTATGCAATGTGCAGCTGAATTATTAAAGCAACATATGCTTCTGTTACACTCTTGTCTCCCAGCAGTGTCACCCTCCTCACACAGCTGAGGGAGCATCACACATCACAGTTTTGGTCACACGCACACACGTGGAGCCCTCACTCTGGTCCTCCTTTGGGGTTCAGGATGTGCAAAAACAACAGTGGCATCACAGGGGTTGAGACACGCCATGAAAATATACAGAAATGAGACACAGACAGGCTCTGATTTATACCTTCCGGTGGCACGCTGGAGTTCCTGGCGTTGTCCCTCTCCTCAGACGTCTCATTGCTGACAGCAGTGCCACTCTTGGTCCTCCGCAGTACACTAAATGCCCGGTTCAACCTCCTGAAGGATCGGCTCCTCACTGAAGATCTGTCAAAGTTTCTGACTGTGGAGAGAACAGAGCAGAAAGAGAAACGTTTTATAGTTCACTTCACCCTCAACATGCCCGGACATGTCTGAAGGTGCCTCCTCACGGCCAATCAGAGGCTCAGATCTGTGTGGATGTGCTGCTCTGTTGCCATGAATGCTCTGAGAGAAGACAAAATAGCTGTTTGGTCCAGGAGGTCAAGATTGCATAATACAGACAGAAGTTTCAAGGTTTATTGATAAAAAGCAAAATAACCTTCTCTTTTTTTTTACTCCAGAGGTGCCAGACAGATTCATCTACAAACGGATCCTTTTTATCTTCCTACAAAAGCACAAGGACAAACATTCACAGCACATTCAAGGATATTTTGCCGGTTTTTTAAACGCTACACCATCTTTCAGAGTCAGGTGCTTGTTTGAAACACCCAAGTTATCTTTTACTCATTTTACACATCATGCTCATAGTGATAATTTTTGCTTTTATTCTTCTTAATCATTCTGTGTAAAACAAAGACTAAAAACAGAATCAGGATTTGTGTAGATTATCTATTTTTGTGGCAGCAGGCTGATGTGTGACACAGTTTTCCTCCTGGACAACAGCTCTGATAAGTCGTGAGGTGATCTTCACACAACATGATGTAGGACAGTGTGTAGTTGGGATAAAAAGAGAGTGCTCAATGTTTACTTTGTCTTTTTTTTTACACACGATCAGATGACTAATCTGAATTTTAAAATCCGTTAATTGACTTAGAGATTAGGAAACTACCCGAAGGACACATTGCGTATCTTAAAGATAAAATTAAGCCTGAGTGTATGACCCTGAGTGTATTTTTCTCCCTCTGTATTTTGACGCTCTCTGTCTCTAAGCGCTGCTCTCGGTAAAAGGAAGGATGAGACTCTTATTTTGACTCTGGTCCATCTTCAATCTGTGAGGTTTATTTGTAGAGCTCCCTCTAACAAGCTCTAATAAAGCACCTCATTTTGGAGATGGAGGAGCTTTCAACTTTAATTAATAATCCCAGTCCTTGCTGAGTATAGTTACACAGTTGCATAACTCCAGCAGTGATGTAACACGCCACGGACTCCTCAAGAGACCCTCCCTGAGCGACGCTTCTCCGCTACTTTACTCAGAAGACAGACAGGTTACAGGGGGCTGCAGAGGAGAAGCAGCAGTCCCAGGCTGGCTGCTCCGAACATGGGGCACAGAGAGCCTCTGCAGCACCCCTCCCCTCCTCCCCTCTCCTCCTCCCTTCCTCCCTCTGCAGTCTGGAGGAGATGCGAGGCCTCCTGACAGCCACATTATTCTTTAAAAGCGCCAGCCGCTTCTGGAGCTGACAGCTTGTTCAGCAGTAGTGGTGCTTGTGGTGGTGGTGGGCCCAAAGTGCTGGTGCAGCGTCATTTGGTGTCCCCACTGCCTGCACGCTCACGCTATAAGGGGGGAGAGGAGAGGGGGAGGAGGGGGCACTCGTGACTGCTTCCTGGTTACACAGGTGGGAGACAAGAAGGGAGAAGGAGGGGCTTTAACACACCAGCATCAGCTATATTTAACCTCCCTCTCCTTCCATTTCTCCTTGACTGTAGCGTCCCCGCCCTCTCACTGACTTCCTCTCTCTCTGTTTCTTTTCTCTTTTCCACACACTGAGGTTTTATGGATTGGTGAAAAAAACAAGGCCGTACAGCTAATTGGCTAATAGGATTTCTATCAGAGAGCATTAAAGAGAACAAAGACTGTATTTGAGGCTGACTGAGTGCCTGGTTTTATGTTGCTAAAGTCTGCACGTGTAAATGTGCAGAAAAAAAAAATCTTTGTTTTTCTAAATTGATTGGATTTAGCATGTCACTCAATGGAAACCCAGAATGTTCTGCCTGATCGCCATGTCGACGTGAAGTTAATCGCAATATATTTCAGATACAGTATCTTGTTTTCATGAGGCAGTCAAACTTCACTCCGACCTATGTACAATGTTATTATTCCATGACCTTCATACTCTCATGTGAGCTTTTGGGGTAAATTTTGTGATGTTGTAAGTCCAACTGTGTTACTGTCTCGACACACCAAGAGTGAATAAAACCATTCACGCGAATAAATTACATATTAAGTCAATGTAAAGACGCTTTGTTCACAGGTATCTAAAATGGAGGACAAACTAAGTGTGTCGGTGTGTGGGTGCCCTGAATTGTATGATATCTTTTCTTTCAATTATCGAAACCGGAATAAAAAGGAGCTCGCCTTGTGAGTGAGGAGGTCGGATTACCTGGTAAACTGTAAAAAACCTTTGTCTTACCGCTGATGCGCCAATGAAGCGAGTAAATACTAATCATTCACGCGTCCAGATTTGCGCGAATTAAGCAAGTAGATGGTTTCACTCGTGCTTGGTGTGAGCACCCCAACACACATCAGAGATGTTTCCTGTTGGGTGGGGCATGTGCCATCGGAAATAGCAAAATAGTAGCGCAGAGAGAACATAGCGAACATTTGCTGTTAAAAAATCGAGGAGCAATGACGAGAAGACGTCAAACATGACACTCCACCATTAAAGATAGCAACAGAGACAAAAATGGTGCTGTAGACACTGATCAAAGTAACTTTACTGTAGGGCAGAGCGGTGAATATATGTGAGGCCTCTGCTCTTAGTTTTCATCTCTGCAACACAACAACAGGGTGTAGAGCCACACACTTGGATATCGATATAAACCATTGCAGAGTTTAAGGCAAAATGACGGACTAGCTATGTGATGATGTTCTTGCAGCAGGATCTCATGTTAAATAGAGTTGGATAACGTCCTTATGAGGGGCACATTCTGCTTGACACAGTGAGGACATTTCAGTCTCGACTTTTTCACGTCGAGTTTAGTAAAAAGGTTGAACCAACACGTCGACTTTCACTCGAGGTTTTTGTACTGAAGTGTTTGTTCTTCTGCTTTAACAGAGATTGTGTTTGCTTTTGTAATCTCTGCAGAGACTTTAAAACTGTGACTAAAGAAAATGTCGACTTTGTTGATCTTAAAGGTGATCACTCTTGCAAACACACACCTCCCCTCTCTCTCTCTCTCTTTCTCTCTCTCTCTTTGTGATGTCATGCAGGACTGAACGTTACCACACCGAGACACAAACATCCATCGCCCACTCACACTCACTCTTCTTGGTGCTGCTGCGTGCAGCTAGGCTGGTCGTGCTGCCTGATTGGCTGTTGTCCTCCATGCTGGGGTCGAAGGCGGGGTTAACAAGGCCGGGCTCGTCTGACAGTAGGGCCACGGCGGCAGAGGTGGCGCCATCGTTGGGGAGCGTGGCGATGGTGAGCTCTGATGTACTGTCGGTGCACTCGCCCTCCTGCGAGCGTCGCTTCCTGTCCGCTGAAAGCCCATAGTGAGAGGCGCCTTTACACCTGCAGACAGAGGTCAAAGGTCAGGCTTTAAACATAAACATGCAGATGAAATGATGCAGATTAGAGTAGAAATGTTAATGAAATGATGACACTGATGATCTGATGTTTTTTGGTTTTTTTTGGAGCAAACTACAGAATGAAGCGGGAATAAAGAGCATCACTTTCACAGCAGAATAAAAGTCAACAAGCTTGTGTAAACAAATAATGAAAAGGTCACATCTGAAAGACTAATGTGAGCCCATTCAACCACTCGTCCAGCCTGCGGCTTTCTGCACGCTGACCTCGATATCCCGCCTCACACAAAGGCTGCTTATCTGACCTTAGCACTCAGACAGATACCACACCGCCGCTACGATACCAACAAATACTGTGGCAGAACACATTTTCCTTGAGCTCTTGCTTGGAATTCAAACCGCACTTCTCCGAGACAGCGGAAAAGAAATGTCATATTTACTCTCATAATGAAAAAAGAAATACAATTTCTGAGGCTTGCTCACCTCCTTTGTGTGAGCGTCTTTAATCACATGTGGGAAGGGGTTTCTGTGAGAGCAGCCCTGACAGATGATTGAACACGAATGTAAGAAAACACTCATTAGAGGAGAGGGGGAGGGGAGCCGACACCACATTTGAATATAAAACACAGATCGACTCAGTGTTGTTTTTCTGAAAAAACTAATCTAATTCCTAAGTTGCAGATGTCTTCTTCTTCTTCCTGTCAACAACAACAACAACACAACCACAGTGTCTCTCATGCACATAACCACACCCACGTACACACTAATGCTTATTTTACCCTGCATGCAATAAAAGGCTTTCCGCTCTGACATTATTAAATTGGGAACGTTTGTGTGTGAATTAAGATATGTCTCCAGAGCGAGCTGTCTTGCCATGAAGACTTTGAGCTGATGCTCCGTCAGAAACAGAATAACACCACCGTGTCTCTGTGGCTGTCTCTGTGGAGCCATCAGCACAAACATTAACTGGGTTTTAATGAGCTGGATCAGGACCAGGCTGCACTTCAACAGGAGCTCAGCAAAACAAAGGAAGCAGCAGCTATTCTCCTCTGCTAGAAGACGTGCTGCTCACTGTGGCTCTGACATGGCCAGTGGCAAACAACAATGCTGTATGTTGTCTTTATGACTTTTAGGTGGAGGCACAGAACACTTTATTGAGGATAAACTGAAGTGTATGTTTACAATTAGAAATGGATCCATAACAGCATTGTCAGAGTCTTTTAAGAAACTTGATATTGTGTGATTTCAGTCGTACTAACATGCTCGCCTGCATTGTCAAAAACCCTGTTTTGGTTTGATGAATTCAGTAAATAGATTTTTTTCAACATCATGTAAATGCACAGAGTATGTATCTAGTGCCTAGCCATGACTTTGAAGGAACTCTGTAAAAGCTGAAGTGTGTAACAACATGATGGTGGATGAAGCGGCAGAGACCTTCACTGTGATGCCAGTTTTTTCATTTATATCACTGCCGTGTGTAAATGGACAGATGATGCGGTAAATTTCCCCTTAAAGTTCTCTTCTCTTGCATTCTCACTAGGGCTGGGCAACATGGCCTCAAATCAATATCAGGATATATTGAGCAGTTCACCTCAATAACAATAATTGGATGATAACTACTCTACAAGCTGCTCTCCCCCTCCCACATTAACTTTGTCTACTTTAGCCGCCGCTCCAGCCACTACAACTTTTGAACCATCCTCCATCTCCTCACCTGTCTTTACCTCTTTGTTATGGACTGGATGGGGTGGAGTCACGTCTCCAACATAGGACAGCATCTTAAAGGGACATGAGACCATAGCCTACCTACACACATCCAAAACCAACTTTTATTTACCGTATTTTTCACACTATAAGGCGCACCATCAATGAACGTGTCTATTCGTGTCTATTTTCATACATAAGGCACACTGGATTATAAAGCGCATGAAACCAAACAAAACAGTCAGATTAGTCAAACTTTAAGTCATTCCATAACTCTGCGAGGCTAAAGTAGCTGCAGTGCTCCGACAAGCCAAAAGGATTTCAAGTGCGCCTTGTAGTGCGAAAAATATGGTTTATTTTTTTTTACACGGAACATATTGACACGGGCAAAATGACATCAGTTAATGTCATAAATTTCGGTATCAGTAAATTTTCGGTTTATCGCCCAGCCCTAATTCTCACATCAGCTCACCCTCATTTATTCCAGAAATGTAGGAGAGAAAGTCCATCTGTTCATGCAGATCATGTACCAGGACAACTTGGGACATTTTTAAGAGTTTGAGCATGCAGGAATGAAGTGAGAGCTCTTTCTGTTTTTTTAAAAAACAGTCTCTCACTTTAGTTTTTATTGGTGCAGGTAGCCTTTCTGTGACGTTCCAACAGACTTTGAATCACAGCATGAGCCGCTCACTGACAAAAACAAGCCCCTAATCTGAAATTAGAGTCCGGGGATTTAACTGCTGGGATCCAGATTCAGGTAAGAGCAAGGTTTAATTGTGGAGCCACCTTACAAACCTGGATGCTGGTGAACTGCTGAAGCCAAAGGGAGGCTGTTGGTCCCCCTCAGGGTACCACATCAGTAGAAGGAGCATTTTGTCTCAATAAGGGAGCTGTCAGAGCAGGTCAGGCACTCTGTCTACATTTCAGAGGGAAAATCATTTCATCCTGAAGTGGGCTCTATATCTCACTTGTATCCACAGGACTCGCACTTAGAAACAGGATCACAGAGAAGTGAAGCACCTATTGATCTCACTCTGACATAACACAGAGACCCAGTCCATGTGTGTGTGCATGTGTGTGTACCTGCATGTGTGGGCAGTGCCATGGTGAGTTATTCCTGTTCATTCAGTTAGTAAATTGAATGCTATCAAGCATGTCTGTGCAGCAACACAGCACTTAACTGAGTGAAGAGCTTGAATAGAGCAATATTTCAATCAGCAGCAGGAGAGGAAGAGGAGGAGGAGGAGAGGGCAGCGCTGCAGTCTTCAGAGGGCAGACGCTCTCCTCGTGTCACTCACTATCAATTAGAAGAATTAAAGCTGGACACTGCTAAAAATAAAAATAAAAAACTACAGGTACTTACATAACTGTCTGCAAGGACAGGGGCTGATGTAAAAATAGGAGTCCCAAGACACAAACCTGAACAGATTGTAGCGTCCTGTAACTTTCTGTGTGTTTTGACTGCAGGTACGATAATGAGGAAAACAGCCTGCCTACATTTACTAAGTGATGTTTTCAGTTGTACAGACACCAAATGGAAATGTATTAAAAAAGAAGCAGTGTAAGCAGAGAGCTCTAGGCAGACAATAAGTCATGCATTTTTTCTATTAGAAACACCAATTGCACAAATTCAGGGGTGCAAATTATGAGCTGCTTGGGGCAACATCCAATAATGGAAAAGTGCTATGATGCACGTATTATTTCTAAATGTCTATATACTCTGGGTTTGCAAACGTAGCCCCAACAAACTTCAGCTGTGCATAAATGTTGAGCCTGCATGGAACAGATTTGCAAGGCTACATAAGCTGTTTTTATCCAAACTGTCTGCTCCGAAGGTCAGAGCCAAGAAAAGGCGTTAAGATGTGCAGCTTTCTTTACTGGGAATGGACTAAAAGAAGAGCTGAAGCTTAATGAACTGCGTACATTAGTTTACCTCCGCTGACCTGTTCCAGTACATGAGTTGGACCGTGTGCACAATGTGATAAAATGCTGTGTTGGAAAGTGCAACATGAGTTCTCAAACTGTACATGTCAAATCAGGACACTTGTCCATATTGTTACCTTTGAATATTCCCAAACACAGAGAGATATTAAAGTGAAGAAGACAACTTTTATCATTGAAACTAAACACAGTTGTCACTTTTCTGACGTGACAACAAAAGCTGAGAATTCAGACGATGGTAAGAGTAAAAATAAAGTCAGAGCTGTTGCAGGTGGTCCTAATGTTGTTGCTAAAAAGTGTACATCTGCACTTTGTCATTTTGCACGGGTGCTATCAGGAAAAAAAATGTAATTGAAAATTGGGGAATGGTGGCTCTATTCTTCGTCGTCATGACTGTGCAGTCTGCTGACCAAAATTCCTAACATCCTGGAAATTCATCTAACCAGTCAGGTACATCTGGTCAGGCAATCTTTGTTCACTGTGCTCTCTCTGTGCACTACATGGAAAATCATGTGCAATCACGCTGGAAGTCAGCCTGACTTCAAAACAGTCATGCAACTTAGAAATCATGTCAGAATCAGCTTCAACCTGCAGTGTAAGCTCAGCCTTAGTAATATTTACTGTCGTCATCCTCCTTTAATTTAAAGGCCCCGGTGCAACTCTACCAATATATGGTGAAAAGTTGCAAATCAGACACCAGTGATCGATAACCATAATCACTTCATCCAGAGCATTAATAAACAGGTATATAAAACAACTATACAATTGGTTTTCTCTCTGATGGTTTTGAACAGTTTTGTAGTTACTGTTTCGGTCTGTTTCATAAGCAGTTAAAAGTGCCTCACAGGAGCTTTAAATGCTTTAGTTAATGACCAATTATGAGATGAATTAAGAGATTAGCACCATCTGTTCAGATGCTAAACTAAGATAGTAATCAGTAAAAAAAATATATATATACATTTATGGGGCTCGTACAGAGGCTATAGCAGCTCTCAATGCTACATGTCATCCCCCACTTTCTCTCTTCTGAGTGTCTTTATCATCCTCCCACTAAAAAGCATCAAAGTCCAAACGTAATGTTTAAAAACAAAATAACAGCAAGAAAATAATGCTAATTTACGCATCAAGCTCATCCACCTAAGTGCATAAATACCAAAACAGTAACACAGGTGAATCTTATCTGCTGAATATAACACTAGTTTTTGCAGAATTTTAGAGTCAGCGCTGAGGAAATCGCAGAGGACATCCCATTTATGTCTTTTTAAAGTCCTTTCAAAGCCTCCCGGAGAAATGAGGAATTAAAGTTAGATAGAATAATATCTTAAAACAAACACAGATTACAGTTTTATGTGTTGTTCTTGTTTCACAGCTCAGAGCTGCTCTTTCAATATCCTGGAAAGCTTTAACTTTTCTTGGCTGGCGATAATATATTCATTTAGATTTTAGATTAACTCCACACCAAAGACTTCTGACCATAAAACCTTAGCTGAACGGTTTCTTTATTCTTATTCTTCCTACCTACACCCACTTGTATAAGACTTGTGGTCCAAGCTGACTAAATGGAATTGAAGCCTTCGAAAGCATTCCTGTGTTTCAGCCGGGTGAGTGGAAAAAGTAAAACCACAGTCTGTTGGTGGAAATGGGCAAAATACCGTCCAATACAGGTTCATTCAGTTACATAAATCTTACAGACCACCCAAACTTAAGGAAATGTCTGTCCAAGTTTTAATGAATACACACTGAGCACAAGTTTAAAAAAAAGAAGATCTAAAGGAGTTCATTTCTGGTGCGTGTTCTGAAATCTAAAAGCTCAGACACAGAGGATAAAAACCAGAGGAGGAAATATATTTAGAGCTGTCGCTGGGAAAACAGAGAAGGTCTGGTATTTTTGATCAGTCCCAGAAACAGAGAGTCTCAGAGACAGCAGCCATTGTTTACTGAGCGCCTGGTTTATTAAAGGCTTTGTCTCCTGTTAATTAAAATCCCCTCCCTTTAGGGGGATAAGACTTACTGGAAAACCTGCAGCTATATCTCAGCTGCTTAGGGTTTAACATTAAGGCCACAGAGAGGGTTTCCTAAGGTTACAGGCGGGAGAGCATGACAGAAAGACCCTTGTCTCTCTCACAGCAGGGTGGTCTTCAAGTCTCAGAGGCAAATAAGTGAGCCAATTAAAGGCCGATTTTCGGAGCACCAAGGGAGGTATGCTCACAGAGATATCCATACTTTAAATCTCTACTCATGAGAAAAATGAAAAAGAGGAAACCCTGAATATCATGATAATAAAAAGAAAAGATCACTTTTGATGACATTTTTCTATGGAGAGAAAACTAAGAAATGTTTTACTTTAAATGTACATTTTTCACGCATCCACAGTCACAATTTGAACATGAAAGATGAGCATGAAGCAAGTTCACTAATGTAGGTTACAGGAAATGTCTTATTTCCCAGGAATAATGATAATTGCACAGGTGGAAAATGTTTACTGCATATAAATAGTGTACCTAGTACAAGGAGCTTTGCATTTTACATAGCAGAAAATGGATATTCTCAGAGGATCATGTATTTTGCACTAAAGAAGTGCGTACTGCAAGATAAAAATCAATATTACAGTATATTTTGAATCACACCATGAATAATGCATTTTCTGCAGAAATATATCTACAGTGAATTCAAGAAACCAAGTGCAGAGTAAAATGCTGTATAAAGCAAAAGATCATGTAAATCAATACAAAAAGTTGTATTTTGCATGTAAAAAAGTGAATTTTGTTGCCGATTATGTGTTTTGCACAGTGAAAATGTGCTTTGGATAATATATATTTAGTAGCCAAAAAAGTATATTATCCTGTAGATCATGTCAAATTCTGTTCAAACCTATACTGCATTGTGGATACTGTATTTTTGCAGAGTCAAAATGTAAATAATAAACTTAAGATGATGCATATTTACAGTAAAATGTGAATTGTACTGTGGAATATCTGGTAAGAACACACAATAGTATTTCCAGCTGGAGAATAAGAGGTCAGATTGCAAAGCTTGGTGAATTTATTAATTCATTTATGTTTATTTTATTCTGATGAAGTGACACTGGAAAGATGTTAGTGTTGTCGTTGGAAGAATAAGTATATACTTCATCATACTTTTTACGAAAATGTACTGTCTGTGTTGAATATGACTGCCAGGTTTATTGCTTTTTTGTTGTTTTATTCTCTTTCTTTACATTAATGACATGTTTAAAATACATTTTTCAGATAAATTCAGCAGATAACAAATGTTGAGTAATTAAAACTGTATACAAGGACAAAATGTGTATTGTTCACAGTAAAATAATATATTTTTCCAACGCAGTATAGATGGACATGGCAATACAATGAAAAATGTGTGTTTGTACTGGTGTGTTGTTGGGTTCAGTGCAGAGTGAGTAGTGGCCATAATGCCTCAGTTTTCAGGGCCGATCACTGAGCTTAGAGGACGCTCATTAGCGCTGCAGCGTTCGTGTCTCAGTCAGCTCAGCCTCAGTTATCACAGCATCGCTCTGAACCCGGATCTGTGCAGAGATAAGAAGTAGACATGCCAAAACATCCTCTGCACTCCCACCTCCTTTATCCCCCTTTTCCTCTACTCCCTTTCCTTCTCTCCCTCCGCTTTCCCCGGCTTTATAAAAGTTACCCATGATGCACTCCGTGACATGGTGCTCATGCTGAAGCACTCTGGCTCTGACACAAACAGCCCTGTTCTTGTGAGGTGAAATAAACACCAGCTCACAACTCATCAAAGCCTGTGAGATTCTGCAATCCTCTTTAGGGGTGAGTGGATTATCCTTCCTAACCCAAATACTCTCTCCGCTCCCTGACTGACTGACTGGCTGCCACCGCGGACAATCGTGTTGGGCCTGACTCCACAGACGGCGCAAATTACCTCCGCTGGGGGTGAGGAGTTCGGGTCAGGCAGTCGGATACAGAAACTAAGCTGAGGATTTCTCACGCCTACAATCAATAAAATGCTTTTAATTTTGAAGCTAAATTTATTCTCAAACTAACCAGCTGTCTGTCCTGAGTATGACCCAAGAGTCTTTTCCTTAGTTCGGCTCCGCTTACTCATCCAAATTCCTTATTATTCTGAAAGCAGACAGTTTTTCTTGACGAGTCCTGACACCAGCAACCAACTTTCTGACTCTTTTGAAAACACACTCTGGGGTTGCACCATGAGGCAGCCTGCAGCTTTCCTCACTGAGGGAAAGTGCTGGATACGAGTGTTAGTGTGATATTTAGGGGGAATTCTTTGTGTGACAGAAAATGTGTGAGAGCTGGCAGCGTTTGTGTGGAGTTTATTCTGGGAGCACTTGAATACAGAGATGCTTCTTAGTGCCAACTGAAGAGTCATTGTCTCTGCCACTGTGAGAGCAAACAAAGACTGTTTTAATTTGATTAAACTGACAGATATTCCTCAAAATCCAAAGCTAGCCCTCTAGGCCTCCCCTTTATTTCTACTGAGTTAATGTGTATAACATGCAAAGAAAGTTGATAGTAATGCTGCGTTCCAGTTGTACTCAGAAGTCAGGATTTCTGAGCTCCGAGTCAGAAGTTAATCTGGAATGGCCCCCTGAAGTCGGATTTCAGACTTGGAAAATTGGGCGATCCCTTACCAACCCCGACTTGACGACAACGTCATAACCCAAGATGGTAGCGCAGTGAACAGTAAAAGGTAACAGTGAAAGCTCCTGTAATGTATTACTTATTAACACTTTTGTTTTTGTGAAATGAAATAAGCGGTTTATGTTGTACTGCCCAACGTCTAGCTGTGAACATGGTGCTATGGTGTTTGTACGAGTAAAATACTGTGTTATGCGTTGTTTACAACTGGTGTAGCTAACAGCAACTAACAACAGATGAAAACGGCTAACAACAGCTGACAACGGCTAACAACAACTGAAAACGGCTAACAACAGCTGACAACGGCTAACAACAACTGAAAACGGTTAACAACAACTGAAAACGGCTAACAACAACTGACAATGGCTAACAACAACTGAAAACGGCTAACGACAGCTGACAATGGCTAACAACAACTGAAAACGGCTAACGACAGCTGACAACCGTTAACAGTAGGAGTCCACCATGGTTTTCCAACTTGTATACGGAACACCGTCAACTCGGGTGTAACGTAATTCCTAGCTACGCTATCCGACTACTGAGTTAACTGGAACACGACATAAGTCACTCAATAGTTCCACCTCTTGTTAGATGGGCGTTGCTGCTCTTCTCTTGCCTGCAACATGCACATGTCTAATAGTCACACTGTAGGACATGACAAGTCAGTCATATAAGCTACAACACATCATGCTGTCACCAGTTTCTCCTTTTCCACGGTTAAAGCCACTGTGAGGAGTTCTTCACTGGCTGAAACAGACTGAAAGTGATACTGACGTCTCTTTATGAACAACAGAAGCAAACAAGACAACCAGCGACAAGATCATTAAATGCTATACTGGGATGTTTGATGCCTGAAACTGCAGTAAGGGGGGTAAGTGTCAAACAGCACGCCAAAGAAACAACCAAAAGGACATACTCTCCATGAGTGACACATTTGACCTTAAAAGACAACAGGGTTAATGTTTTCATATAAAATACTTCCTTAATATGCATAGGACAAGATAAGATGTCCACATTTGCCCACAGAGAATGTCATTATACAACTCTGCTGCCATCACAGATACCCTGAGTCTGAGCAGTCCCAAGGCCTGAGATTTATGACTATGAAATATCTGCTTTATTTTGCCCTCCTCCAGGTAAAGGACAAGAATATAGTGGTGAGTTGTCTTCTATGTTAGGGAAGGAAAGCTTTGCTAAGAGCAGTAAGTCTAATCTCCCAAAGCAGCAAACCAGACAACACGCTTCTACTGGGCGAGCTGCCAGAGAGCCCAGTGCTGCAAACACCGGCAGTGACCCAGGTGGAGTTCATGAATGTCTCTTCACCTTAACTCTCTCCTCCATGAGGCTGTCAGAGCCACTTTCAGAATATGGAGACCAGCAGGGTTAAACCAGGAGATGTGATTGAAGAGCAGACGTCTGAGGACAACTACGGCAACATCAGTTTTCATACAATATTGTGCAGCCTTTAATGCTTTGTATAATCTTGGCTTAGTGGTTGCACAAATGAACAACGTCAATAAAAAAGGTACATTATTATTATTTTTCTGCTGCTCCTTTGCATGGAAATGAGTGACTGAAAATACAGTTTGAATCTTTGGAAAATGTCACTCCTGTCTGTAAAATTGAAATGCACAAATTTAGGTGTTTGTTCCTCATTGTTCGTACTCAATTCTCTGATGAATGCCTTAATATACAGGTGTTTGGGTTTTCTCAGGACAATTGCCACATGGTTAAGTCAAGCTACAGTTATTGCATAGTTAGGCAATTTAACTGGACTACTGTCCTAGGTTTACATTTACTTTGCAAGACTATAAATACTGATAGAAGTATGTCTGCAGAAGTGTATGTCTGGGTGGTGACATGTCCCCTTTCAGCTTCTTAACACCAGGGTGCATCCAGGTTGACGTGTTACGTACCGAATCAAATGCATTAGCAAGTGGCTGAGGGGATGTACTTGGAACATGGAAAACACTGACACTTTTATAGCTCTGTAGTTTTATGTGTTTATACCTTCTTTCTTCCTCTGTCAAGTTTGTCTTCCACTCAGCAATGAATTTGTGCGGTTCAACTTCCAAATCAGAGTCGGATGTGTGAACCCAGGAGCATGAACAGGAGGCTTAGACCATGGAAGAGAAAATCGCTCCCCCATTAACAAGTTACTTACTTACTTGGTAATAAAGAAAAGTTTGATGTAAAGCCTGATCTAGAGTTATTCTGGTTGGACTAATGAGTTTACATGTGTTTTAAAAGTCCAGTTTTAGTCAGGCAAATGCAATAAATCCAATTTTCGAACTTATAAACATACTGTTTGGTGTTTCATTACAAGTTTATACCACCAACTTCTGCCACAGTCTGTCAACATTATTGCGAGATTTATGTGCAGAGATCTTTTTCACGATGCTGTCATATGAGCACTGATTTATTTTTAATTGAAAAGTTAAGACTTTTCTGATTTTAATGGGGCTGTTCTAATCCAAACACAGTCTGAAACAGCAAATAAATGAGTAAAAGTCCAGACAGGAGTAGACCAATAACTCCTATGCCCTCTCTGTGGTAAAAGTACTGTTTTTCTCAGTGGATTCTGGTGGCTCAGAAAGAGCATATACTGTAACTTGTGTTCCTGTTTTTATCTAACAAAAAAGTCTGTCCCTGTTGGGATCCTTTCAGTGTTTTTTTTACAGACAGAAAAACAATCTGAGCGTTTAATTGGCAAAACAAGCTCTTAAAGTGGATGCACTTCAATCAGGAACATCTCCCTCAATGGAGCATGATGCTGCCATTGCAGCCAATTTTGCAGCTGCTGGCTGAAGTGAATTCAATGGATTAAAGCCAGGACTTTTTTTTAGACTTTAACTCATTAAAACATAAAAAGATATTGAATAAAACCCCTTTAGAAATTCTTGGAGTACAACTGTGCTGACACTGAAACTCGCATTGCACAAAGATGCACAAAAGGCTTGTATTAAGTGTTTCCTTCCAGTGTGATTAGTATCAATCAGTTACTTTTTTATCACACACTGCAGCCACATGCCAAACACATAAAGTAAAGTTTGATTGTAGGGGGATGGGTAGATGATAGGTAGATTCATAGACAGAGGGAGAAGAGCAGCGTAAAGATGGACAGAGTAATCCAGTTAATGATGAACTAGAGGAGTGTTAATCAGAGGATGGGCTGGTGTGTTGATTGGATCCGCCTGCTGTGAGGGGTAATCCCATCTGCTGCCAGAGGAGAGGAGGGGGGTGAGACCACAGCCGGGGGGGGTTGGTCTCAGCTGGGAGGATATTTCCTCTGAGCTTGTTTCCAAACACAGACGAAGCAGGAGGCGAGGTTTGGCTGGGTGCGACTCCTCACAGGATATGAAGATGAATGCAACCAAAAAATGAAAGTGAGTGTGCGCCGCAGCCCACGCAGAGCATTAATCCTCGCTTTGTGTTCAGGTTTCTGCTGAGCTCCCGTGCAGCCTCCCAGCAGTGGCCGGGCAGGTTTGGCTACTCCTGTTTCTGTGTTTACGAGTGCGGAGGCCTGCCAGGCGAGTCAGCCTGTTAGGTGCAGCCCAAACTCTGAGTCATGCTTTTTCAGCCAATCAATACACACGATCATCAGTCCGGGTCTGACCTCATGATCAGGCTGGAAGGACATTTGTGCAGCTTTTTATTGCGTCCGCATCTGGTTTCAACCTGCAGAGCAACCTTGCTGTTTTGTCAACAGAGAAGAAGAGTGCAGGAAGTAGTAGAATTGATTTATCCTCTGCTCTCCGGCTGAGCTGGCTCTGCCTTTACTACCTCTTCTCACATATGTCCACCCCTGCAGAGAAAGCTTTCCAGCCATTCACTGAAATATTATGTGCACCTTCCTCTCTCTGAACTGAGTCGCACAGTAACTCTCTCCACACAATCACAGAGAATCCCCACCAGGCCGCTGTCCCATATTGCTCTTGGCACCCTTTAGCCTATATTTCTCATTCTGTGCCACACTAGCCCTTGGCAGTGTCCTGTTTTCCCCACCTTCACGTGCCATGGTACAACCGCCTGACTCTCCGCCAGCGCTGATCAGCCCTCCCCACACCCTGCCGCTCAGCAGGATACCGTTCGTGTAAGAGATTAACTCCACGCTGCTCTCCTCTCCGCTCTGCAGGATGCTCGTACGGGACCCCTCCTGCAGATTAGCCGGCTGCAGACAGGAGACCGTCGAAAATGCTCCATGTTAAACATGTCAGGCTTTAAAGACCATAAACACCGACCAGACAGGGAGCCGGCCTGAGGCAAAGGTTAGCAGACATCTATTTCCACAATACGCACATCCTTAGTGATACAGCCAAGGGTGTAGGGCACACAGTGGGAGTGATTTAGAAGGAGGTCTGCACTGCGGACACAAATAAATCATACTTTTAAATAGAGCCAGGCAATCCCAATCAGATCGCATTCAAACTTGTTTGGCTTGGAAAGGATAAATTGCTTTGTTCAGGAGAACATGCCTGTTTTCTGCTGCAAGCGAGATAAAAACGAGTGTTTCTGTCAGGAAAAATGAGTGATGGAAAAGGGGCATGAAAGGGAAATGAAAGTCGACCCCCAATATCCTCCAGGAATATGAAAAAAAGTGACTCAAAAACAGTTAACTATTGCAGCTAAGCCTGCAGCTTCTCTGTTCGACCTCCAGTGTCTGTTTTCAAAGTAGTGCGAGAAACTGATGTTGTGTTTTATAGGAGTCTCCCTTGTTTTGATTAGGGAGTCCATTTGCTCTTTAAAGGGAGGAGAACTCTGTTGAGATGATAGCTCTTATTTCAGAGCTCATAAATGTTGAAAATAAAAGGAATCCTGACCCAAAAACAAGCTATCCACTCACAGCCCCTCCTCACATCCTGTGCTGGCAGAGGAGCATCAGCGAGACACTGATTTTAATATGGATCTGCTTTATTGTTTTTTTTATTTTCTTTTTTCCCTACTGATTTTAATTACTTGGCCCATTTATTTTGTAGAAGAGAACTCTGCTGATAATTTGGCTTCGATAAAAGCCTCATGAAAAATGAACACTGAAGGAAACAAACCCAGAAAAAGGCTTAGTTAAAGTTTGTAGTAAACTCCCACAATGCCCTGTATATGTTTTAAAGGTAAAGGAATGCTGGCTTTAATGATAAAGTGCTTTAATTTGCATCTTTACCCGTTTTTATGACTTGTGTTTTGGTTTAAAGAGAGGAGAGGACTCAGTGAAAAGCTCTGTTTGCAGTATTTTAATGCAAACTGAAAGATTTTTGTAGAAGCAAGCATGACTATACTTTAATTTCTACTAGTACTGAGTCATAAATTGAAACTGTGGTTCCATATAAACTGTACATCTCACAAGCCCAGACTGTTGAGATGTTGCAGAAGTTTCCTCACATTAACTGGGCCACCAGGCCTTTTTAAAAGTGCTCTGTACGTTTAGTATTTGCTTGTACTGAAGGACATTTAAAAAAAAAAAAAGAACAATGGTTGGAAGTTGTGTCCTGACAGCAGTAGCTGTACATCTTTGGGTCATACTTCGGGTCAAAATTGACCTTTCTGAGGTCGCCATGAGCACAGTGACAAAAACAGCTGATGCTGAGAACAAGGTTATGTGCTGAAGAGCGGCAATGACCCTCTTTGAAATCAGATAGTTCAACTATGACTGACTATTATTCTAGCTGCAAGCAGGACTTATCTGTTCTGCAGCCTTTGTTGTCAAAGCTTGGCAGTGACTCTCTTTATATCTTAATTAGGGCTGCAACAATTAGTTGACGTTGACAAAAATGGATAATGAAAAAAAGTAGACAATAAATTCCGTTTAAGAGTAAGAAGTAGCCGACTATTGTCGCCGGACGTGTTTTTTTCTAGTGGAGTGAGGCATCCTGCTTCATTACAATCCTTGCCTAGGACACACATGTGCAACAGCGTCTCCGCCGAGCGGTAAGGTATTCAAACATGGCGGCGCTGGCATCCCATACAGCAGCTACGAGTACCTCCAAAGTTTGGAAAAAAAAAAAAAAACTTGCAAGGTTTGCAAAGCAGACCTTGCGTATCATGGCAGCACACCGGTGATGAACAACTATTTGAGGAGAAGGCACGTAACTATCCGATCAGTCAACTAATTGTTTCAATAGTCAGTGACTAGTCGACTATCATAATAGTCGTTAGTTGCAGCCCTAATCTTAATATTGTAGCACATTTTATTTTCTTGGTGCACTTTGTTGGACAAACATCTTTCTGAGCTTTTAAAGAATGGAGAAGTGGAGTTGTGTTTCCTCTCTTGGTTCAGAGAAGCTTCAGTAACCCTGAGTTTAAAATCCAAGATGGTTGCCCTTAGTATCAACGATCGAAAAGCTATACTTTTAATAGTGTTTGTCAGCAACTTGGTCTCATTAGATATAATCAAATCAATCAGCAAAACAACTTTCCTCCATGTTAACAACTCTTACTAAGACACAATTTACTCAGACGTGCCTTTGTCGTTCACCGCTTTGCCTTTGACTTTTGAGGTAATTGGAATAAAACATTTGCTGTTAGTCATCCTTCACTCTCTACTCTTTGCATTTTACTATTTTTCTTCAGCAAAAGGACCCAAAAATAACAGAAAATACACAAGCAAAAGAGGCGTTTGTTTTAATCACTTTTGCCTAATTTTCCACAAAGAAACAGTCTAGAAAGGTTTAACTAACTAAAAAAGTATTATGATCAGCTGTTTCACTACATAACCCTCCATTTATTTAGGTCAAATGCTTTTCACTGAGGGCATGAATTTAAATCCCGTCTTTAAACCCTCTCTGCATACTGACACTAATACCCGCGCACCTAGCTGCAGTTTCTGCACCAGCAGAGACGTATCTGACAGAAAGTCTCTGTGAAGTAAACACACTGACCTGCTTCTCACTTCTTCATGAATAAATCAGAACATACATAATGCATCTGCTCTTTTGTGGCTGTGTATTTACACATGCATGGTGCAAACCTCAGTTACAGCTAAGTGTGTGTGTGTGTGTTTGTTTATGTGTGTGTTTATTTTCATGCAGGTTTGTTTCATGTGAAGTGTCATGTGTGATATGAGTTAATGCTTTCCCCTGTTTGTTTGGGAACAACTTCAGCATGTCCTCTACATGTGTCCTTGCAGTACATGTGTGATTGTGTGTGCAGTGCGCTCTGCTGTACACTTTGTCTACCCATGCATATAAATGCTCCCACAGCTGACTCGCTGAATCTGCTTCGTTCGTCACACCCCGTGCAAAGAAAAATAATTAAGCTGATTTAGTGTTATCTCTTTTCAGAGAGCTGTAAAAGTTGTCAAGGGTAAGAAGTAGCCTGATTTTTATCTCTCAGCTCATCTCCCCTCGGCCTTTAGTGTATTTCTGGTCTGCTAGATATGGTGAGACAGGGAGAGCTGCCTGACTACAGATCATGGATTAATATTTAATCCAAACAAAAGTCTAATTAGCAAAGCGTGCCCCGCACTTGAAGCAGCTAAACGGCCAAAAAGAGCCCTGCGTTTGACTCGAGATGGCCTGGGCTTTAAAAAAAATGACTTGTATTGTTCAGATAATGCGAGCGCATGGCAGTGGAGAGGGTTTAATCCTGTTAGAAAGTGTCCATACAGAAGACGTCCGAAGAGCGTGTTGATCAAACACCTTAAAGATGAGGACTGTGAAGGAGGGAAGCTAAGCTAATGATAGTGTTTCAGAAATCTCAACTCAGGCCGAGAAATGAACACAGATTAATCATTAATGCTCTACAGCAGAGCTCTGTTATTACCAGGGGAGGCTGAGTGGACGAGGAGGGAGGATGCAAAGTCTAATTTGTGTGTGTGTGTGTGTGTGTCTGTGTGTGTGTGTGTGTGTGTGTGTGTGTGTCTGTGTGTGTGTGTGTGTGTGTGTGTGGAGTAAGAAGTGAGGAAATCACAATCTAGAGACTCTCCTGTGTGCGTCTGTGCTGTTTTTATTGGCTGCTGCTGACAAAGTAAAACAGCAGTAACTGGATTACATTTCATCACAGAGAAACATTTACTCTCCCTGTGCATTGTTAGCCAATATATTCTGTATACAAGCCTCTGCACGCACATTTATGTGCGAGTAAGACGGATTGCAACCACTCTCACTTTTCCCACGCAATAAAACCGCACTGTGGTAATCATTGAAATTGAAACAAATCAGGACAGAAAGAGAGGAGGGAGAAGCATGAGTGAAGAGAGGAAACAGGATAAATGTGCAGTGGTCACACGGGGGGAGTTGAAGGCAGCTCCTGTCAACAGTATGGATAAAGATAAATGGCGTGCCACTGCTCTCCAGCCAGGCAGAAAAACACCACGTCCGAGATGTCTGCTCCTGGTTTTTCTCTCCGTCATGTCATAATCAGCAGAAAGCTCACTGTCACAGCAACGGAAAAACACTCGCAGACACACTCAGTCTGCCTGACTGTCCATGCACCTCGCTCTGAGAAGACTCGATCAAATACTGTAAACGACTCCTAAAACTGGGCTTATTCGATGCCATCAACCTCTGGCACAGGCAACAAAGTTCCTATGACCAAAACAAACAAGTTCCTCAAACTGCAGTTCTTCAGGTGTCCTCTAGAGGCTGACTCCAAAGTGAGTCAATCCCTTACAAACTTCATGTTAAAACATCCAACTTCACAGCAGATACAAACACGTCAAAACGTCTTAGAAAATCGCAAATAAAGTTCTGTTGAGTGTATTCAACATGATTTGCCTCACAATCATTGCAGACTTAAATGATTATGGTAACATTATTGCAGTATTTGTAGAAAGTTTTTGAACAACACTCTCAGTCAAGTTAGGGAAAGGCATGTCCGTAGCACGTTCATCACTTATTGTGTTCGTCTTTGTTTTACTGTACATTTATTCACATTTGTTTTAGGAGTAAACAAACATCCAAAATGCGACGAATTGAGCATGTTTTGTGGCATTACACTGAATCATTGCAGGTAAATAATGTCATAGTGGTCTGCTGGGTGATATCCCAGTATAAACAAACACAGCCTATATAGAACTTTATCTCCGTTTTATAGATCAAAACTGAGCCACACAACAAAATGCCATCTGTCAATGATTCTTACTTACATCTGGGTAATAGAGCATAATGGAAGCACTACAGCTTGGACACAGCACATGACCACTATTTTGGGGCTTACGCTGACAAAAACAGGAAATGTAGGTGACAACTTGTTATTGTTAAGTCAAATGAATATGCACATTCTGAATATCAATATCTGTCCCTGATTCTGGGATTTTGTGAGTTCTCCAATCAGATTTTTCGGGATCCAGGAGAGTAAAAGTTCCGTATGCTAGAATACAATTCTTACTGTCTTTAACCCAATCAAACAACTCTGCTCAGCTTCTACCACAAATAAACTCTCATTCTGTTAGAAACTTGATGTTTACTCTACTAATTTGTTGCAGCAAAAACGTCTCAGCTTTGGGCGTGAAAACCCATCGCTAACCCATTCCTCCTTTCCAGCTCCACCCTCTCATCCAAACACGACCAGTTCTGCCTCAAAAGCAAAGATATAATCAGTAGCCTGTGTGCTGAATTAGAGGCTTCAAAAGGTAGTTAACACACTGCCAAGCGACCTCATGGTGTCCATTATGTATACAGTCTATGGTCTCGGCCATATGGACAGCAGGCTCAGGATGTGACCTTACACCCTCCTGTCTCCTCTCATCTCCCCTCTCCTCTTCTCTCTGCTGAACCTCTGTCCACTCCATTTTCATCCTTATTGCCTTCTCCTCCTTCCTCTATTCTTCCTGTATATTGGATTTCTTTTCTCATGCTTTTCTTCTTCCAACCAATCTGCCTACTTTGCCCTTCTTCCCGCTTTCTCCTCTCTTCATTGGCATCCACCGCTGCCGTGCAATATGGGCTGTTGGTGTCTGCAGGAGCCAAAGCTCTGCTCAGTGAGAGGGCATACAATGAAATGAGGGATTTGCAGGGTGCTCTATTGTTCCATGTATTCATGCAGTATAATGGGACATTTCCGGCAGGCTGGAGAGCGCAGCGTATAGCTCAGCTCGGGGATCAGAGAGCTCTGGCTTCACACGGAGCTGCTGAATATAGCCAACATTAACTTCCCACACAAAGAGAGTCAGAGGGCCAATACAGAGCGGAGAACAACATTCAGAGGAGGAGAGCCAAGAACGGGAGAGTGTGACGTAGACTGGAGTGTGGCTGCTGCTTTTTCTTCTGAGCGAATGATCAGTCAATTACTCCACGTCCTGACGACAAACCCACTCACATTCAAGTCATTTTTTCAAGAAAATGCTCAACTTTAAGCTCCATATATCTTAATATTTGCTGCTTTTTTCTGATGTTAATGATGCAAAACGATATAAATGTGCAAAACAGACAAGAAAGAAATGTCATTTGAGCCTTGTGGAGCTGGGGCAATCATATTTATCACCATTTTCAACAAAAATCAACAGAAAGGTGCTGTTTATCTGTCTGTTTACGCTGTTGGGACCACTGATGAAATATTGATGAAATGATGATGAAAAACAAGAAACCGTTTGGCGAGTGTGCACCAACAGGTGTGTTTGTATTTTGTTTATGTGTTATTTTATGGTTGTGTGTGCACATTAAGGATCTTTCAGCCTTTAGTAAACAGATGCCATGCAAGAGGAGCCAGCCATAAATGTTTAATGCTGAGGTGAAAGTCCACAACAAACACACTGTAGTTACAGCCAGCCATATATACTCAGCAGGACCACAAACAAAAACACACACAGCGTAAAAAAACCCTACAACTGTGAGCAAAAGCATGCTGACATTTCACTCAAATCAATAACGGACACACTCGCACATGCTGCTGGAGGAGGAGAGAAAAAGAGAGAGAGGGAGCGAGAGAGAGAGAGAGAGAGATGCCATGCTGCAGTGCTGGAGTGTCCAAACTGTCCTGAACAGCACAAAGCTCAACCGACTGAGACCAACAAACAGGAGATGACGATCAATGACTGATGTCCTCACCAGAGAGGTGAGGATAAAGATGTAAACACTGGAAGTTTTGCATGAACACAAACACACGAATCAACGGCTGGTCAGAGTGACAGAGGTGCACAATAACAGGGTGAGATGGACAGCTGATAGAGGGGGGGGATGATGGAGGGGGAGAGATGATGATAGGGGGGGATGCTGGAGGGAGGATGCAGGAGGATGCTGACTGTTGTTGTACTCACAGCTCAGAGTAGAGGATGTGCAGGTTGCCCAAATTGTCAGTGTAGTTGGCCGGGCTGAGCCAGGGCAGGACCAGCAGCAACAGAGCCTTCATGGTCAACACTCTGCTCCTCTTTTCCTCTCCTTCTTCTCTCCTCTAATCGCTGAAGCTGTCTCCTCTTCTATTCCCCCCTCCTCCCCCTCCTCCTCCACCACCACCACCTCCAATTCTCCGAACCTGGCCGTGCTGACCCCCCCTCCTTTCTTCTTCCTCCAGAGGCACTCTCAAACAGAAATAATCCTTCTCTCCCTACCTTTTCAACCTCTTTCTTTCTGTCTTTCTTTCCTCCCTCTCCCTCTCACTATAGCTCTGTGTCTGTGAGCCGGGCCGGTTCCTCCTCTGCCTCAGGCTGGCTGCCTGGTCATCTCAGCTGCAGAGGCAAACGGGCCGGTTGCCAGAGGTTGAAGACGGAGCGGAGGAGGAGGAGGAGGAGGAAGCAGCAGCAGCAGAAGCAGGTGCAGAGGAGAAGTCCGGTTGTGGCACAGGAGAAAGAGGAGAAAGTGCAAAAAGGAGAGGAAGAAGACCCGTGCAAAGGTGGCACATTTGGAATACAATTTGAGATGTGCAGCCTCTTAATCTGCTCTGGGCACTGGCGAGTTGTAAGAGGATTTGCGCTCGTATGCGTGTGTGTGCATGTCTGTCTCCCTGTTAGGTGCGTGTGCGCGCGTGTGTATGTCAGAGCGAGCGGCGCAGGCTGTGACTTATACTGCAGCAGAAACCACTGAGGGGGGAGATGGAGCAGACCAAACAAAGGCAAGAGGGGGGAGAGGTACCTGGTGCTGCTCTGATTGGCTGAACCCTCCTCACACGCGTACACACGTAAACTCTCACACATATACACACACACTCACACATTCAACCTCTGCATTCACCTCCCCCTCCTGCACATATGTTGGTCCGTGAAGGGGAGGATGGAGAGGAGAGGAGGGGGAGAATGTGTTGCCTCCCTCCAAACCCTCACCCCTCCTCTCCGGTGAAGGACTGCTCCCTGTGCAGCAGATTGGTGCGATCGCTCCAAAGAATCTGCCTACATGTGTGGGAAAGAGAAAAAAAAGAGGCAGAGCATGACCAAAACACACCGACAAATCTATGTGGTCTGCTGTGACAGAAGCGATTTCCTCTGAGTGACAGCAGAGAGAAGGAAAGAGAAGCAGAAGAAGATAGGGAATAAAGCTTCAGAGGAGTGCACGTTTCATTCATGCAGTCAGTCATTCAGACCATCGTTTAATTTAAGAGTAAAGAGGAGAGAGAGAGAACGAGATAAAGGAAGATAGGTTATATAAAGAGAGTACAACTCTGTTTTATTGCAAGGAAATAAAAAGTCTAACTGAGGAATCTCATCTCTCAGAGGATCTCTTCATATTGAAATAGCCAACCTGTGGTTCAATTCCCCTTCTTATCACATGGTTTCCAGAAAATAACATGCGTCAATTTTAAATTACTTTCCTATTACCTCTACAGATATCCTCTTTTAGTGCAAAAATGTATCAGAATCAATTAGGATACAATAAATCTATCTGATATTTGAGTCCAGTGTTAATCAACATGAATGTGGAACATAGAAATATGTGCAACTTCAAATACAATCAGATAAAGCCATTAAAGAAAACATGAAACAATGGAATAGGAACAAAATGTGTTGAAAAAACTGGAACCTATAGCGGTGTTAAACTCAATTCAAGGCTTTATTGACACATCAACTAAAACAGTTGATTTGACCTTACCTAAGGGTACTAAATACAACATGTGAACAAAACAACATGAATTAAAATAGACAGTGATTATTATTATGTATTATCAAATACATCTAAACAACAAAAAGCATTACAGTGCAGCAAGTAATAAATAACCAAAACGGATCAAATAAAGCCTAACTTTGATGTTAAATTGCTAAAGTAAAAGTACCAAATCTGCAAAGCGTCTAGGCCAGCCATGTTTCATAGCTATCACTGAATGCACCAACAAGTTTTGATGGTCAGTGCACAATATTTTCCTGAGCTGTGGTAACGTTGAACTAGACATTTAAAGAAAAGATGAATGTGGTTGATTAACAGATCTGCTGAACAAAATATTGAGGTTAGTAAGGTTAACTGATCTGCAGTGGTCCCAGTGACCCACAAAGAGAAACACGCAGCAAGTCCAGAGATGATAAAAAATTCAAAAGAATATCAAAAAGTCCAAAACAAATGCAGTGATAATGAAGTCTGCAGCAAACACCCAAAACAACTGCATGCAAATCCAACAACATGCAAACACAAAACTCAAAGTAAGATGTACAGGCATGTGGGAGGCACTCAGTTAAATACTTAGTGTGACTTTTCCTTTCTTAAACTCTAGTCAAAGTCAGCACAGCTAGCTAAGAGCCACAGCTCACTTGTGGAGGTGACTTCAGCAGAGTTGACTCTCCTGAAAGTCCAGTGGGTTTTTACACATTGTATTTCTATGCATTGGTCAGTGACACTCAGCTTTGGCTGGCAAAGTCTTTCTTTAATGTGTCCTTGATGTTTTTGTGGATTTTCTTCATTGTTAAGATGAAGATGATGCTGCATATACCAAACTTCTTCAGACTTCACTTGTAGCTCAGGTTGAACCAGAATTGTGCATGTAGCAACAAGTCTGTCTTTTATTGCGGTGGTCTGTTCCAAAACAGCAGAAACTGACCAATCAGTGTGCAGTATTTCATGCAGCCGTGTTCAAACAGAGGATAGCCTTGTCTGTCATCGCCACCTGCTCTGATAGGCCGTGCAGAGCTCATGGGAAGCACTTACAGCTGTCTGCGAAAGGTGTGAGGTGACGGCTGGTGGCAGCGACCACTCAGGACTCACTTAACAGCATTTAAATGTGCCTTTCTCCCGTGTTTAAGGTGTTTCTCTTTTTTTTATCCAACTTCTTTTGAACCAAACACAAACACAGAGGTGGAGGATGGTAGGGAACTTTGAAAGCAAAGTGAGGCAGTTGTTCTGACATTTTTTCTCCCATTAAAAGTCAGATTTCATCCTCTTTCCCCCTCAGGTGTTCACTTTTTGTCTGTTGCATTCCAATTAAGTCACGTCAGTTTTAGTTTTTTGGTTATGAATTTTACTCGGTATCATGCAACACTCTCCTCTTTTCCTCGTTTGTCTCCAGCTTACCTTTCTCCCCTCTTATCCTATTTCCACAGTGCTGAGCTGTCTGCTACCCTGGAGAAAGACACTTAACTGGTGTAAATACCCTGTCTGAATGAATATTTCATGGGTGGAGGTGGTGTGGTTACAGGCAGGGTTTTGTCTGTGTGTGTGCGTGTGTTCATGCATGTGTGCATACTGAGCCCTCTTGCAGTATTTGAACAGTACGCACAGAAACAAGACCACAGGGCACGCAGGAAATGGAAATGTAATTGGATTGTGACAGGATGCAGTTTGTGAACAGAACCCAGTCTGCCCCACAGGAGTCCCTACAAACATCAGCGCATTAACACACACTCCAAAAAACATCACATCACGACATACACACCCCATTATTTCTTTTCAGGTCCCACTCACAGCCAATTTCTCAAACTGATGAGAAGTCAGAAAGGTAATTTTATAAAATACAACAAACAGTTTGGTCCTGGAATTTTTACAAAACAACTTAACAAGACAGAAAGTACAGCTACAAACCAAAGGACCTGTGTGATTGTACCATGGTGTGATATCTGGCAGAGAGGCAGACGCTTGTAAATGATCTGATCAACAGGGCCACACCATGCAGGGAGAACAGAAACAACATCCAGTTACTGCTTAAGACTTACTCAGTGCAAGAGTGGGCAAAATGCTATGCTAAGGGTGTTGTTATGATTTTATTTTTCTTATTTTTTCCTTTCTTGAACTGTTTGGAGAAAGCGATCACATCTTAAACTGATCTAGCTCGGTCATCTGCTACAGCAAGATAAGGAGAAAAGTCCCCAAGAGAAGCTGCTATTATTAATATTAACTGAGATCATTTAGCTAAATTTGCAGGAAAATAGAAAAAGTTCACACATCCATAATATTATCAAACACTAGCAAGTACTGGTTACTCTTTTCATGAAATTTTGATGGTTGGGAATAAAATGATCTAGAGCGTTTTCTTATGGAAATCAAAGCGCAACTTTGTGTTTTCAACCGCCAGCATGAAATGTGTCAAGAGGCTATTTTAATATTCGATGAAGACCTAAAGCCCATGCTCTCTTTTCCTATTCCTGCTCTATTCACAGTTGTGTCCTCCATTATTTAAAAAAAAAGAAAAAAAAAAAACTTAAAATCAGATCTTGAGAAATCCACTCACATTGTGAGACCAGCAACCTCCTAATAATATACTCTGAGAGTTCCTGCAACATCCAGGTGCTTTTCCATCCTACAGAAAAGATCCACTGTTGAGATTAAATCACCTAAAAACAAAGGTGATGATTTGTGTATCACTATGGAGTATTAAGAGTTTTCTTCAGATTCTCCAGGTTTTAAAAGAAATTTTTTTTTTACAAGAATAAAGTTGAAGTGAAGTATTTTATTATGAGAATAAAGTTGTTGTGTTGAGATAATGACATCTTTAATTTAGTCAAAGATTAGCCTCATAACACCATTTTTGAGGGGGAAACCACGTCTCAGTTTTCTGCTCAGAGTCCTGATACTTATAACAATGGGGTGCTGAGGAAACTTTAGAGACAATTTCACCAGAGGCTCCATGTTCCTCATTTTGGTCCCCGTAATTTAAAACTTATCACTTTATTCTTACAGTGTTACAACTTGATTTTCTTATAACTTAATTCTCATGAGACAATAACTTTACTACAACTTTATTTTTCTAACATGATATAACTTTGCCAGAACTTTATTCTCATAAATAGATGATTTAACTACAACTTTGTTCTTGAAAGAATATGATTTCTTCAGACTTCATTCTTGTAATAAAATTACATTACTACATCTTTTTTTCCAGTAAGATTTATTTATTTAACAAATCAGAATTCTCATAATTTAATGTCTTTACAATGATATTTAATGTGACCCTCATATCACATCACAATGTGTTAATTTTAGTAAACAGTTTCATTTCTGATGTCAGCTATCTCGTCAAAATAGAGGCTGCCTCTTTGTTTCTGTCTGTCAACCAATCAGACACTGTATCTGCAATCAGCTGATGTGTAAGGGCCAAACAGAGGCCAGGTTAACCTGTCTGAACAGAGCAGAAAAGATCATGGAAGCATTTGTGTTCGGTCCACTTATTGGCAAGGAACGCAAAGCAGAATCTATAATGGCATAGGGATCGATACGGTCTTATCTTCAGACTCAAATTTGATAAGGTGCTGCTGTTATAGGTTTAATTGTAAAAGAATGAAAGAAGAATTTGATATAAAGAAAATTCTTCTGCTAGGACATGAGAGGATGAGCTGCAGGTTTCAAAGAGTACATAACAAGATTAAGGAGATAGCGACCCCAGAAAACACAAGGAATAAATAACCCTAAAATCATGGATTGACTCTCCTAAACCTGCAGAGCTTGGTTCAATGAAAGGAATGATCGGAGATTCCACCCATAATATATACGAGGTATTCTGGAGCTGTGTATAAAGTGGATATTAAAACAGGTTAGCTGTTAGCATGTCACTGTGGCTGTCAGGAAAGGTGACCTTAACTCAACTCTCTCCTTCATAGTGTTTATAACACTCCTGCAAACACACACAGACAGGCAACACATACACACTGACATATTCTAACATGCAGTGTACAACTATAGTAGCTGCCATGAATATTAATGTCTTTGCTTAATATTCACACAAGCTTTGAAGAATCGTCTGTGGGCTATACTTAAAGAAAAAGACTCACATAAAAGAAAAAAAAGAAACACTATCATGCTTAAGGCAGATTATCAGTAAAACACACACCGAGCTCTGGGTAAATTAGCCTGGGTAATACAAAAATTATAAGAGCTAGAGTCTGAGAGAGAGCAGAGAGAACCTGTTTTATGCATCACAGGCAGTATGTGCACATGTAGGTACACGTTACCTGGCTAAAAGGAGAAAATACCTGAGCGGGTGGGGAGAAACTTTCTAAATGGATTCTGTGCAAGCCCTCACAGGATGGAGGAGAGAGAGAGAGAGAGAGAGAGAGAGAGAGAGAGAGAGCGAGGGAGAGAAAACTGAATAAACTGCTGAAAGTGTTGCTCTAGTTGTGTCCAGAATGACAATTTCTCCAAGCAAAGGTCACTAAAGGTTATGAATGATTAGATGAGTATGAAATTAGCCGACCAGATGGCATGGCTGTCTCAGCCATTACCACTCCTGACCCTCTGCCAGATTCAGTATGACCACAGACTATGAGCACTTATGCACTCAGACTCTGTTCTTAAGAATATTTTTCCTGCTTATGCAAAGACTGGAGAGTGATGTTTCATAATAAAAATGAACCTTTTCACACTGCCCTTCAAGAGTTCTGTGAAGATTGATGCTGCCAATGACATCCTGCACAAAATCGTTACGAAATATTGCATCAACATGCCTCGACAACAACCAGATCAGTCATTGTGATACCCAGAGCCGGATTAACCATGAGGCATAGTGAGGCTGAAGCCTCAGGGCGTTTGGCTATGGGGGGCCACTCAGCCCGAGCAGAAGCCGCTATGATGCTGGTGAGCTGCGCCCGGTGTGAGGAGGATTAGGCTGTATTGGGACAGAGGAAAAAGTGCCTAGAAAGTCAAAACCTCTGACATTTATCAGTCCCTACAGAATATGAAAAGAAAGATCAAAACACAAATGCAGACAAATGTATAACAAATATAAAATAATAAAATTCTCAAATCTCAGTATAGCAATCCTTTAAACAAAACAAATTGTATAACCATAACAGGCCTTCATATCATGCCTTGCACTTTTATTTATAATGCTTGCTATATACTTATGATTTAAAATGCCTGAGGTTTTCTACAGTAAAAAAGTGAACTGTACACCAGCCTCTGTGCTTTCCTTGAAGACTTTTTTCACTACCTCTTGTTGAATTGAGTTCAGACACAGTTGTATTAACCCAGTGGTTTGGCTAGAGGTGGTGGCTAGTGGAACCATTAAATAACCACCCATAACTGCAGTAATTTCCACAAAATGACCAATAAAAACTGCCAATTTTTTCCGCGCGCGGGACAGAGGGGGGCCATTAGGTTTGCTTAGCCTCAGGGGTCACAGAAGGTTTAATCCGGGCCTGGTGATACCAGTGAAACATTATAAAACATTGATTGTTATTGGGATGACTTTATAAAACAGGCTGCTGATGAATATCATCCAGAGATAAGACACATACAGCAAAGACAAACAATAGATGGGACATTGCTGTGCATATATAAAGAGGAAAAAGCTGTATGTGTGTTGTGCATGTGGGGTGAGACATAACAAAACTTAAAATAAAAACAAGTCAAGCAAATTATACGTATTTGAGGCAACACTAGAACAAATCGCCTTTACCACTAATGTACTTTAAAATGATCATGAGAACTGCATGCGTCTTAAATTTGACAAGACTTAATGTTTACAATCCTCTGACTTCAACTTTCTGAAACCGTCACCAAATCCCCTCAACTATGAGTCATCTTCAGAAGCTCTTTCTTCATAGTGTTTGGCCTTCCTGGTCTTCCAAAAAGCCTTTTATTGAATGAAGAAACACATTCGTTTTGATTCCCCTCCAGGCTGACATACCACTATTTTAATAACATGGTGACCCTGTGTGTTTCAGTTAAAAATGTTCAGACGGCTACTCTTTTAGTGTTGGTACTTACAACAAAGTAATGCACAATAAATCTTATGTAACCAGCATAATGGAGAGCCACCCAGCACAAGAGGAGTCAGTTGATGGAGTGGAAAGACCAATAAAGTCCACTTGGAATGGCAGCCGGGATGACAGATGGGTCAAACAAGGCAAGAGTTTCAACCAGGTCACCAAAGTTAGAGTTCCACGTGAAGCGAAAAGTTAACTCTGAGTTACTGCTCTTACAAACAGCATTATGTGTTTCCTAAACTAGAACGAGTATTTATATTTATTTGCTTACTTCGTGCAAACCTTTAAAAATGACTGTCAAATACAAGTAAAAGGAATTAACAGGCTTCCTAACTTGGGATGTATGATATAACCATCATGATATTGGTCTTGGCAAGTTTATCAGTATTGACAATTACGAAAAATTTCTGCAGATATAACTATTAACCAATAAGCTGATGCAATAATTATGTGCTCATGATGACAAAACAGGCAAAACAAACAGGATAACTGCTAATATGTGTCAACTTTGGAATTAATAATGTTCAAATTTCCCCCACTGAAAAACTTAAGATACCAGCATTTTAATGGTTTGTTGATATTATTATTATTATTATTATTATTATTATTATTGCAATTGGACTGGCTCAGTCTGCCAGACACTTTATGCTTCAGTTTTTTATTTGCGAACCCCAGAGGCATCTTAAACCATGAGGTGTTTCCATCCAGTCATAGTTTGAGTGACGTTTGTCTTCTAACAGCGAGCGTGATTGGCTGTCAATTATGCTCATTCGGGATTAGCCACAAAGTTGTGAGTGCCTGTAGGATGCTAAACATAGTGAGTATATCGGACTATTATGCAACAGCAAGACTGTTATTTTGATTATGATGGGTGTACGACAATTTTCCCAAAAATACAATGATATAGTAATTCTGTATTTCCCATCTGGCAACACTGTTTGCATAAATAGGGCAGAGCCATTCGTACTTCTGTGAATGGAATAACATTGTATTGGCAAACAGGTAGCAGCTCAAACTTTTTTTTTTTAACAAGGCTGTAAACGTGTTTAATCCTACTGTAAAGTTTGACATCATAACCTTAAACTCTACTGGGATTGACTCACTTTTGGACCCCACCTCAAGTGGTTATTCAAGGTATTGCAGTTTTTGGCACTTTAGCATTGGCAAACTACTTTGGCCAAAGTGTTATTGCACTGTTTCCATTTTCATGATGAACTATAGTTATCTCGAATAAGAGCTTATTATTGCAGTTGGTGTTCTTGTTAAATCTCTTGCAAGGGCTAAATGAGAGATTCCAGTGGCTGAATTTTGCCTGGTCAAAACCTGAATATGGATACTTGATGTTTTTCTTTCTGTCATTTCTCAACCATATGTGTTTATACAAACAATAATCACAGCTGTTTTGAACAAGAGTATTTGAAAAGCGACATATTTACTCTGCTGCACAACAGACGCCAAACTCACCGAACCAGAGCAGAATAAATGAACAGAACAGAAAGGCTGAAATTGGTTTCTCACCAATATCTCTCTCCAACTCGCTCACATCCCTGCACACAGTGTGTAGATTCCTCCCTCTGGACATGGCCTCTCACCTCTGCAGATAACACCTTCTAACTACAGGAGAGCAGCTGAGCCCTTCAGGGAGTCGGCCTAAGAGCTCCACACCTCATTATAACACTCACAGCACATGAGGAGAGAAATGGGAATCAACCGAGCACTGGGCAGGAGATATGGAGGGGTGGATGGAGCAGAAAAAAGGTGTGAAAAGAGGAGAAAACAGAGGAAATGGTTGCGTGTGTGGGTGGGAAGTGGTGGGAAACAACACGCAGAGACAGAAATGTAGGTTTTTGAGTTTGTTTTGTGCCTCTCAAGGTTTTTAAAGTGCAAATGAAAAAGAAATGCTCTCAAGCTTGTGTGAGATGTGTGGCGAGGTGCACTAATTATCCCAGAGGTCTCTGGGTGTGCAGAGTGTTAATGAGCATTAATGAAAACACTCCCAGACTGAGAGAAACTAAAGTAGTGAGTTTTAATGATGAGCAGAGGAGCTGGACGGAGAGCAGATAAAAGCCTGGGTGCTCTGCTGTTAATGATAATGGGCAGAGGAGGGTGGGAAACCTTGAGTGTGTGTTTACTGCGGGTCATTGAAGTTTTATTTAGATAGCATGGTTAAATAACAGAGATAGGGAAATAAAAAAAAGAAGCTCTGCTTGTTTGCTTTTGTAATAGGACTGCTGACTGAAAACAGGAGCAGCAGAAGTGAACAAGTCCTCAGACTGAAAGTTATCATAGGATTAAAAATGTTAAATGTTGCATGTTTTTTCACTGTTTTGGTCCTACAGCCATCAAACTGTATATCAAACATACGTGAATCCTGATTCTCTGTGATCATTCCCTTTTTTTCTTGGTTTAGTGTTAGTTCAGGCAGGCCACAAAGTCAAGCTAATCCCACACTTCAAATTTGGCTCTGACTTTAAGTTCTTTAAATGAGTTTGAAAGCCATCAAACATGCTGAGTTGTAACTTTGCTTTTGACTGTTTTGACAAAATAACTGTGCTTCCGTCACCTACCTGATCTTGATGTGGTCCTCCATTTCACCTCGAGGCAGAGTCTCAGTGCAATGCTCGGTGAAAGGGCACGCCACCATCAGTTTGTCCAGCAGCTTGTGCACCAGCAGGCTAGGTTTCCTGCAGCTCTGCAGCATGAGGGGCGCACGGCACACGGGACAGAAGTCACTCTCCAGTAGGAAGCTGGTCAGACACTCTTGGCAGTAGGTGTGTCCACAGGGCGTGTCCAGCGGCCGGATGAGCGGCTGCAGACAGATGTGACACACCAGGTCGTCGTCCACTTCGTCTTTGTAAAGGTACTCATGGTTCTCCTCCAGCTGGTGACTGTGGCCACAAGATGCACACAGGTCAGGGGGCGGAGACAAGAGTCCATAATCAGAGGGGGAAAGAGGTGGAGCCGATGCTTCAGCCATTGCTATTGCAAATTCAACATGGATGCTGTCCTCCTGGGTACTCATCTGGAGTACAGGACTCAGGGTGTTGAATCCTGAGAGGAGGCCATCAGCAGAGATCTGTGAGGAAAAATAAAGACGGTTTCGTATAAGAAAAGACTTTGACCAAATACAGACAGAACAGTTCTAGCATGGAAGTGTGAAAATGCTCTTTAATGACCACATAAACCTGAAGTATTTAACATAAAGGCGCTGTTTGCATCCAAATGCAGCCTCTGACTATCTTATTCGTTGAACTTGTTGTGCATCATGTCAAGGTTTCAAACAGGACCATATTGGCTGAAGTCAATTCTGCAGACTGTGCAAAAAATAGACTGGGGAAAAAGTATTGGTTGCTGAAAAGAGATTCTGAAACCTAATGGTGACAGTCACCATGTTGACAATGTTGACTCCAACTAACTGTCAATCAACTTTGAAACAGATGAAGAGGTGAAGAGGAGTCTGGCCTTTAGCCTCCTAGCAAACCACAACAGTCCAAGGCCTGTCAGCTCAGCTGTGCCTCTGATTAAGCAAACTCATGTTCAACTCTTTAATCAATGCAAAACAGATGACTTCTGGATGAAATAAATCTGACTTTTTATGTAGTTAAACAAAAATAAATGAGTGCCAAAATGTTTTTTGAGCCATCTACACATGTTGTATTCTGACATTTACACACAACAGGAATAAAAGCAGTGTCTTTATATTGAGTAGTTGCAGTACATTGAAAATGCATCTGAAGGTCTCTGAACATTAACATATAGATCTACTTAAATTGAAAGGTCCCAGACCTCCTAAAATGCAATGGATAGCTTTGTCCTTTCACATGCTGTCTCAGGAATGACACCTTTGGGGATTAGTTTGGCTTTTTGGCAACACAGTGGGAGTGAAAGTGAGGATTTCCATGAAGGACTTCTGCCAAGGCTCCATCCACAATTTGCCCCGATGAAAACCCAAGAAAAAGAAATGCAGAGAGAGTAAAGCCATGTTCAGTCAGGCTGTACTATGCAGGGTAAGGATACCTCATCTTAATGCAGAATTTCTGTTGTTGCTTTCACAGGTGGTGCTATATTTGAAATATCTTATTATTTCTGTTGTTTATTGTAGACTCATATCTTTACCAAGCTACAGATGTCTTCTTTTTGACTGGTCATATAATAATCCAGCATGATCTTTTAGGGGGCATCAAATATGACAGTATAATAAAGACAATTTTGGAAACTGCCACAAATCTTTGATCTTGTTGAATGATTGGGGAAAATACTTCAGACCTTTACTCTTGCAGATATCAAACTAAAAATCTCATAGACCTTAAATCAGACAGGCTGCTTCAGATTAAATCACTGGCTGAAAGTCTTTGTACCAGCAATTGAGTATTTACCTTCATGAAGTAGGTTATGTTTGCAGTTTGAAGGATTATAAAAAAAAAAACTGGCCCAATTTCTATGATACTAAGTTTTAAGCTACAGCACACCAAACACCAACCTTATTTTTCAGTTATTTTCTATTTTTATACGATAGCATCTGATTTTCGGTTGCAAGCTGCCATATTCATAATACTAAAGTTTAGAAATGAATTGATATGTATTTTTCTGTTTATTTCCATAATGCCAAGTAGTTCCAACTTAGCAAATAACAACTGTACAGCTAAGATTTTGAAGCTTCATTGGGGAAAAAAAATGTTTTAACACTTTTCCTTAAAATCTTTTTATTGTCAGTGATGCTTTTATTCTTTTTTTGCCCCTAATTTGCATTTATGATTAATATCTCTCCTGCTGTTGGAAATCCATCTGCCTCATCACCTTTATTCTATACATTTACATTTATTCTTCCTGATTTTGACATTGCATTTTCTTCATGCACTGTTTGAACTTTCTAGCCTTCTCTGTCCCACCTAACCGTTAAATAAGTATCCAATTGTCCTTTTGCATACCTGCCTTCATTTTATTCATCAAAGCTTTTTTTTAAATCACTTTTATTTAAACAAAGTTATTGCTAAGGAAATATTTGCAGATAAAAACAAGGATCATGATGCAGATGAAGTTAATAGGGTGTTGATTAAATACAGTGGAAACACTTAGAAAGCATGGATTTATCTTTATTGTTGGTGGTAAAGAAATTAACTTCGCCTTTGAATATTTTCAGATCTTGTTTCCTGAACACAATGTAATATGAGGTATATTTTGTTTCTCTGATGGTTAAAAGGACAGGGCAGATAGCTGACAGGTATTTTTCTCTCTCCCATCAGTAGCTGTACATGATGTGTGCACGGCAGCAGTACTGCAGCCCAAACTGTCTTTTTTGCAGTTTGTTTGATTTCCTCTGCGGGCTCAGAGAAGTGATATCGAGCTGCTGAGATTTCTGCTCTGGATGCAGAAACATCAATAGCACTCATCTCAGCAGCAAGGGTAGGGACAGATAGACACAGATAAGTCTACAGCTCTGACTCCTGTTCTGCATGACAAACACTCCGGCTACAGCGTTAATCCACTGAGGCTGTCACATGATTCAAACAGTTTTTTCTCCTCTAAATGCTCACAGGTTTCCATTGTACATGTGCCAGTTTACACGTCATTTCCAAAGCAGGCGGGCTCCTCGAGCACATGGACACTGACAGATGGGCTCAGTTAGACACACGTCACCTTGGCAACAGCCTTCGAGTTGGCGCTCCACTTGCTGTGTTAGTGGACCCACTGTGGGGTCTGCAGCTGCTTAATGGGACACCAGATCATGTTAAAAAAAATTCCACAACAACAACAAAACTTGTGTGTGAACCCTTCAAAATACAGACGAGCTCGAGCTGTTTTGATTGGACACTTTCCTGAATTCTTGGGAAAAATAGCAACAACAAACGCCTGATAGTAGACTCTGATGTTCATCCAAATTTACTAATTCACACAAACATAACTGCACACTGTACAAACTTAATGACTAATAACCAAGCTGTCCACACAAACAGGCTGTCTTTATTCTTCATTACATAAGCTAAATGAAGGTGACGCACAGAAAGTTGTAACAGCAATAAAAGCTCAATTGCTGCTTTCCAATACCTTTAATCCCACCCTGATTAGTATGCGACAAAACAAATGTTCATCAAATGCCAAAAGTTCCAGGTGTCTCACAAAGAGTCACACATTTCAGGAAAATAAGTACAACGTGCTTTCTACTTTTTCTGCCTGACAATTCTCTGCATGGCAAAATAGACAACACGAGTTTGTCTGGGGAAAAAAAAATATGGCGCAGTCGAAACTCCAGTGTCGTGGGTTTTTATCCACACCAACTCCCCAAAAAGAGCAAACAGTGGCAAATATTTACAGTGCAGGAAACAAAACAAAGCAAAAAAATAGGCAAATAAATGACGTATTAAAGCAGGTTTTCAGAAGGACTTACACTTGTTCACTTGTAACTCAAATTGCCACTAGGCCAAGAGCTCCCTCCAGAGTGACCAAAGCGCTCCTTAAATACCCCTTAGCCCCTCCCATGGGGACATCCATAAACAAATTATAGGGGTTTAAGATACAACAGAAAATTCATCAATAAATCAGACATTTCAACATGGAAGAAATGGCACTAATAACCCTCCATACAGCTGTGACTGAAAACACAATAAATCAAAGTAAAATACCACAAATGAACTATAAAGGTGTGGTCCGGTGGTCACATGACCCCCAAGAGCGCGCCACCTTGCGCAATTTTACTGTGGGACCAGGAAGTGCCCCGGTTTGACTTGGAAGATGGCAGCAGGTAAGTGTGTGTGTGTGTGTGTGTGTGTGTGTGTTGTCGAGTGTGCACCCTCAAACGCCTATACAACAGGGAGAAAAGAGTCCAGATAAAAAGGAAAATGGTTGGTTGGAGCGCAGCACTGCAGGACACAGGTGCAGGGAAACAGTTATACTGAGCTTGGCGCGGTGGGAAAGGAGTGTGCTCCTTGTGCACTCCTGGCACCAGCACTCTCGGACCACGAGGAGAGACAACTGTGCTAGTCGGGGCGTTTAATGTCACTCTGTCACAATTAGTCAGTTTCTAATTTTTGACACAAACATTTTCATTAGTTATTCTGCATGAAGTGGCAGAAATAAACAGAGGATCATAGTTGTAGGCTCAGTGTCAGAGACAAAGTATTGTGTTCCAATTCTATGCAAACTGCATGCAAAGTACCAACTTTCAAAGGCCTACTGCACTGGAGTAAAAAAATAATAAATGCGTGATTTTAAATGCAGGGAAAGACGGTATTCTCTGGGAGTGGAAAGGCTAAAAAGACGAGGTGGGAAAGTCTTAACAGAGATGAACTTTTACACTGAAAGCTTGTGGTAACGTGGCTGATTCATCACATACTGTGGCACCTGCTGGGCCTGATCTATGGAGCACTTTCATCGCTACACAGGAGGGGCAAGAGAGAAAGTGACAGAGAGAGAAAGAAATATCTGGTAGCAGGAGACAAAGAGAAAAAAATAAACATTTTAAAATTATAGAAATGAAAAAAGGAAGGTTTGATATCCATGCCCTGATACGAACAGACAGAATAATCGTCTTAAACTTGGTGCTCTTCTCTCAGCAGGGAAACTTTGCTTTTCACACACTTTCAGGCCCTGAACCCCACTGTTACTCAGGTCATGTTTTTGTTTTCATCATTCATTTATTGTGTCTTCCTTGTTTTCTTATAGACCCTGTTTATTCTGCACTTAGACTTGTCTCTGCCTTTCATTTCCTGCTTCCTGTGTTTACCACCTTGTGTGCCAACACCGCCTTAATTGCACCCTCCTGTGTGTCTTGTCACCTCGTTATTTTTATGTGTATATATCTTGTGTCCTCCCTGTTGTTGCCTGTTCATTAGGATGCTCCCTACTGTCGCCTCCTTCCATCATCCTCACTCCTGAGTTTTCCTTGTGCTCTGGTGGTTGTTTTTCTGCTCTTTTTCGGATGTTTGCTTTGCTTGACCGTAAATCAATGTTAGGAATAAACGCCCAAACTCAAAGAGTCGATGGAGATGCAGCAAAATGTCACATTTATTTCTCAGCTTTGTAATG